GAAACAGAACATCACAATCAAGCAGTTGTATTGCAAAACCTATCATAGTCAAATACAATTTCTTTACAGAATCCAACACATATCACATAATTTCCCTCTTGCAAACCTTTTGTAAATCACTAATTTATCTGACACAGCACAAAACTCCCCAGCACAGCCCAATAAAAATTCCCTCTAGCCCCCACCTTTATACAGATAGCAGACAGCATCTCTTGCCACTGTATTGCCCATCACTTTCTTCATGGCACAGTTTCTCTAAAATAAATATGCCTTTCCAAATTCATAACTGTCTTGATGAATTCCTTCGTCACCTGCAACTCTGGTCTCAACTAGTCCTACCCACTACACTTCTGCTTCCACCTCCCAAATTGCTAGGATTACATGCATGGCCTGATGTTATTTTAATGTAAATTCTTGGGAAAGAATTTAGGAACTGGTTTTTCTGTTCCTTTAAAAAACTACTTGAAGCCGGCTCAGTGGCTCAGCCTGTAATCCCGCGCCTTTGGGAGGCTGAGGTGAGTGGATTGCCTGAGCCCGCGGGTTCAAGACTCGCCTGGGCAGCAAGACCTCATCTCTACAACAAATCAAAAAATCAGCCAGGCGTGGTAGCGCATGCCTGTAACTCCGGCTACTGGGAAGGCTGAGGCGGAAGGATCGCTGGAGCCCAGCAGGTCGAGGCTGCGGTGGCTGGGAGCGGCCACTGCACTTCAGTCTGGGCGACAGAGTGAGACTCCAACTAAAAAAAAAAAAAAAAAAAAAACTACTTGAATCCAAGTTATGGTAGACATTTAAAAAAATAAAATACTTGTAACTGCTGCTATTCAAGTATATATTCAGGGAAACCCGAATGCTCCCCTCCCTGGGTTGCAGTCTTCAAACTTGGCCAAATAAGCCACCTACCTATATTAATTTTGCATTTGCTTCTTCCATTTAGGTTGAGTGAAGTGATCCATCCTGCCTGGTCTCTAAGGTTAGTGGGAATGGCTTTTTGCTCCAGGAAAGTGGTAGATGATCATGGGTACCATGAATTTGGAGAGATGGCAGGAGGCATCGTGGAGGCGGCCATGGCTGAAAGATTTAAATAAGGAGTACGGAAGCAAGCAGGCCTGGGGACAGGGGACAGCGGCACAGCGACGTCGTCAAGCCATAAAGGCGGCCTGGGGCTTACTTGCACGCTAATATCTCTCACTCCACCAAGGCGGCAAAGCAAAAAACACAAGGTCCGAGAAAGCTTGGAAAACGCCTTGGACGCCACGCGGCCGATGTCGACCTTGCCATCTCCCGCCAAACGTACATCCAATCGGAAGCGTCATCACGCTGAGAGATGAGCAACGTCCAATCAGAACTGGGTTCCTGAGTCTCAGCCCGCCCAGAGGGGCTCTGGACCAATGGGTGCCTGAGCGGGGGCGGGCCAATCCAGGGCAGCGCACAGCGCAGCGGCGGCAGTTAGGTGTGCAGGGGGCGTTTGAAGTTGAGTAGCTGCGTGTGGCATTGGCAGAGCTCACCATGGTAAGGCCCCGGGACCGGGCAGGGGGCTCTGGAGTCCTAGTTGTCCAGACCCCAGATTCTCCCACCCCGCAGACGCCCCGGCAGGAGGGCGAATGAAGCCCGCCACGTGGGGTCGCCGAACTGAGGCACCCTGGTGCGGGCCTCGGCGGGAAGAGGAGGCCAGAGAAGAACGCAGGAGGCCCAGGGCAGGACACGGCAACACTGGCTCGTTCTCCAGGGCTACGTGCCAAGGGCAGCCAGGACCCCAGAGGAGGTGGACAGGGAGTGTCCAGGGTAATCAGGGTGAACCGGGAGGGAAAGAGGCAGGTGCAGTCGAGCTTGTTGCAGGAGGCCTTCTGTTGACTGAAACTGTGACCACAACTTAGTGGAAAGAGGCTCAATGACGTTCTCAGAACAGTCAGCCTGGGGTCCTGAGAACGGGAGGGCGGTGCTCAGGCTTTCTGGCTTTGGACCTCTCTACGCTTCTAAAATGACGGAGAAGCCCAAAGAGCCTTTGTTGATGTGCGTCCCAGCTGTCGATATGTGTCATGTTAGAAATTAAAGCTGTTTGAGTTTGGTTTAGGTGGCAGAAAAATGTACGTTAAAAAAAAAATTAAAGCCGAGAAGCTTTAAAAACATTCACTAGTTCTTGTAAAATCAGCACATGTTCACATAAATCACAGATATCCAGCTCTGAATAACTTGTCAGTTATTCTTTTCAAGTAAAAATGGTGTTTCATGAAAAAATTGGTGAGTTGGTGGGGTGGCTCATGCCTGAAATCTAGCATGAGGCTAAGGCAGGAGGATCACTTGAACCCAGGAGTTGAAGGTTGCAGTGAGTGGTGATCCAGCTACTGCACTCCAACCTGGGTAACAGAGCAAGACCCTGTCTTTAAAAAAAAAAAAAAAAGTGGCTACTTCAGCTTGCAATTCACACAAATGCACAAGGCATTTTTCTTAAGGCAGATGTGCTTTATTATGTGCACAAGTGCTTTATGTTACTTCTTATTTTGTCACAGTACTTGGGGTAGAGTTTTAATAAAATTAACATTTTTTGTAGCTTCACCAAGGACATTCTTAAATGCTTTTTCTTTTTACTCCGAGTGCATGGGATGGTGCCATTACCTTGGTCTGCACCAGCAGTTCTATCCACCTTTGCTTATGCACCCCCAGTGCACACATCAACACAGTGAAAAGAACTGGTAATGTTCTAGTTGTGTTAGGAAATTGATTTTATCCCCCATGTACCCTGGAAAGGTCTGTGTACCCTTAGGGCCTGTGAACTCCACTGTGGATTGTTGCTGAGTAGGAGCTCAGTAGAAACAATGGACCCTTGACTGGAGGATGCACAGCCTTATTAGAAAGCAAAGAAAGCCAGGTGTGGTTGCTTATGCTTGTGATCTCAGCACTTTGGGAGGCAGAGGCCAGAGAATTCCCTGAGCCCTGAGGTTCAAGACTAGCCTGGGCAACTTGGCGAGACCTTGTCTCTACAATAAATCAAAACATTAGCTGGGCATGGTGGCATGTGCCTGTAGTTCCAGCTACTTGGCAGACTGAATCAGAAGGATCACCTGAGCCCAACAGATCAGGGCTGTGACAGCCATGAGTGTGCCACTCCAGCCTGGGCAACAGAGTGAGACTCTGACTCAAAAAAAAAAAAAAAAGGAAAAGAAAAGAAGAGGGGGAGCAAGTAGGGCTATGATATTCTTGCCTTAACCCTCGTTTGCATTCTATGGTTTCACTTATTTGTGGTGCAGTACAATAAGGTATTGTGTGTGTGTGAGAGAGAGCACATTCATGTAATAACTTTTATTATACTACATTGTTATAATTGTTCCATTTTATTAGTCATGTCATTCATCTCTTACTGTCCTAATTTATAAATTAAGGTTTATCATAGGCATATACATATAGGACAAAAGATGGGGTGGGGAAGAGAGAGAGAGAGAGAGAGAGAGAGAGAGAGTGTGTGTGTGTGTGTGTGTGTGTGTGTGGTGTTTTGAGGTTCAAATATTCACTGGAAGTCTTGAAACTATGCCCCTCAGACAAGGGGGGAATTACTGTATTTTCAAAAATGGTGACAGGAAGTGATGCTTTTGGGTAAGTACAGAACAAGGTCATCTGCCAAGATCATAGAAAGAGGAGTTTGGCCTTGAGTTTGAAAAGAATAGAGAAAATTTCAAACCAAAAGAGTAGAGAAAGTTTTCAAAGAGGAGATAGAGCTGATAAAAGTAATGTCAAATTTAGGGCCATCGCAGAAACTCAACTCACACTTGTAATCCTAGCACTTTGGAAGGGGGAGGTGGGCGGATACAGACCACAGGAGTTCGAGACCAACCTAGGCAACATAATGAGATCTCATTTCTTAAAAAAAAAAAAAAATACACACACACACACATACACACACACTTGCGCCAGGCATGCTGGTGGGTGCCTGTAGCCCCAGATGTTTGGGAGGCTAAAGTAGAGGATGGCTTGAGCCCAAGAGTTGGAGGTGGCAGTGAGTTGTAATCATGCGACTGTGTGACTGCATTCCAGCATGGGAGCAACAGAGTGAGTCTGTGACTGGAAAAAGAGACCAGTTTGGGCAACATAGTGAATCCCATCTATAAGAGAAAAAAAGAAACAAATATATGAAAAATTTTATGATCCAGGTGAGGTTGGCAATGAAGCTAGAGTGGCTTTCTATAGCAAGGGAGGATTAATTTTCCTGACTGCTTGGATCAGTTTCATGGGATAATCAGAAATGGAAGTGACCTTAAAGACCACTCAGCTGCTCACCCCCATTTTGTAACTGAAGAAATTGACAAAATGTTTAATGGTGTAAGGTCACAGATCTTCCTCTGATCTTACTGGCCCAGGGTAAGTAGAATGCCAAATCAAGCATCTGTTGAAATACAGGTAGTCTGTACTTTAGTAAGGCAAATCGTATGGATGTGAAAATGGTGGTGTTGGGCAGATTACAAAGGACTTTTGTAGAGTGTTGATGAATCTTTCTTCTGAGGAATGAGTTCCTTGGCATTGGCAAAGTTCTGTCTGGAACTGAATGCTCCCTTCTGGGATGATGTGGGGGGATTGTTACATTATGTTGACCTGTTATACCCCTGCAGACTCTGAGATTTGGTGTTCATATAATAGAAAACAGGACTTCAACTTCTTGGGATGTAGGTTAGAATTTAGTGGCTGAGGTACCTCCAATTTTATTTGATTTCTTCCATGTGTTTGCTAGGATGACTTGTGTACAATTGAGCAAGTGGCTGGCGAGTGTACAGTTAGACTCCCTGCAGGAAAGAGATGCTCAATTCAGAATAAGTACTCTGAGGTGACTATATAGAGGTCCTATTGATAAAGTGATGGGCAAGGTTTAAAGAAATTACCAAATGACACCAGCACTTCTGATCTCTAGGAGCCATCACCTGCCTAGGCTTGAAGGGGTGAGAGGAGGGAGTGATTACTAGAAGTTAAGAGGGTAGCTTTGTGAAGAGGGCCAAGTGCCCAGAATTGTGGCCTTGATGCAGGGACTCAGACGCAGGACTGTCTGGCAAGGAGGAAGCCAGGGAGTGAGTTCCCTGACCACACCTACCTCTAACCTTCCAGACGCTGCTGCTGCCACTGTTAACTAAACCAACCAGGAGCCAGGGGCATGGAAGCCCTCTGATGCTGTCTACATGGATCAGCCTCCTGGAGCACAACGTGGAGTGGAAAAAAACAGAGGGTAGATCTAGAGGGGCTGATGGAGACACACACAGTGACCTCCTAGGCTTAGGCCATTGTGACCTAGGACCAGCTCCATTTTTCCTTCCCCTACTATTACCTGGTCCTTTGGTAGTGACATAAGGAAAAACTCCTAGATAATTCTGAGAACTACTGTGACTAACCATAATGAAGAGTTGATTTTGGAAGTCATTTTATGGCTTCCAAGTTTTAAAATAACCTTAATTTTTGTAGCAAACATTTATGGCTCTGGGGCTACCTGTGGCACTTAGTATCTAGGTGGATTAGAGTAAGTTCACATTCACTGGATGAAGGGGTCACCTAAGCACCCTAGGAAGTAAAGACTGAGAAAGCCCCAGGCACTGAAGCACTGTACAAAGACTAAGTTATAGTAGTTTTCATGCCATTGAGCTTCCACTTGCCTTGAAGATGAAAGTGTTCACATTTATGTTCTGGTTCCCAGCGTGAGTGTATCTCTGTCCACGTGGGGCAGGCGGGTGTCCAGATTGGCAATGCCTGCTGGGAGCTTTACTGCCTTGAACATGGAATTCAGCCCGACGGCCAAATGCCAAGTGACAAAACCATCGGTGGTGGAGATGACTCCTTTAACACGTTCTTCAGCGAGACTGGGGCTGGCAAACACGTGCCCAGAGCAGTATTTGTGGACCTGGAGCCCACTGTGGTAGGTAAGTTCTCAGGTACTGGTTGACAGTTTTCCTGGGAGGATAGGAGAGGCTGGGTAAAGCCCTACAGGGGCTCCCGTGAGTCACTTTGCAGAAAGGATGCGGGAGAGATAAGCATATGCCTGTGGCATTGTTAACTGAGAAATTGGAGGTTCGTGATTATAGGGTCTGTGGGACTTGGCTCTTATTTAGGAAAAGCTGATCTATGGGGAGAATCTGCTTTGCCAGCATTAAGAAGGGCTGTGGAAAGATTCATTCAGCTCACAGAGGGGTAGGTTCCCATTTGAACACTGTGCATGCTCTCATGCTAATGCATGACAATCTTGACCTGCATCTTAGACATAAGAGGTAAGCGTAGAACATTGCTTTACTTCCTCCAGAATAGAAGTAGTAGTTGTTGTTGTTTTTGTTTTTGTTGTTGTTGTTGTTTTTGAGTTGGAGTCTCATTCTCTCACTCTGTTGAGTTGTAGTCTCATTCTCTCACTCTGTTACCCAGGCTAGAGTACAGTGGCACGCTCAGGGCCACTTCAACCTCAACCTGCTGGGCTCTGGCAATCCTTCTGCCTTAACCTTCCAAGTAACTGGAATTACAGGCACACACTATCATGGCCAGCTAACTTTTTGATTTATTGTAGAGATGAGGTCTCACCAAGTTGCCCAGGCTGGTCTCAAACCCCTAGGCTCAGGCAATCCTCTCACCTTGGCCTCCCAAAGTGCTGGGATTACACGCTTGAGCCATGGCGCCCAGCCTGCCCCAAGTAGTTTCTACGGAGAGCTGCAAAAGGAGAGCACCTTTTAGTGGCCCCTCAGGAGATGACAGAATATCATCTGAAAGTCTGTGAGAGCCAGGCCACATAGGGTTGCCTGATGAAACTGGCTTGCCAAAGTCACACTGACCTTGTGACTGCCCAATTTGTTAGGGATTTAAAGTATACCATTTGACGTAAATATGGGTAGCAAGGAAATATATACCTGTGGAATTGCTGGTGTTAGGGCGTGGCACCTTATATCCCTTCATTGGGAACTAGTGCTGCTGGCACTGGTGTGAGCTGGCATTACCTCTCTAGAGCCATAGGTGCATTTGTGGTTTATGCATCACAGAGACATTTTTATGGGAGATCCCCACTGTTGACCTACAGGGAACTGCATGTGCTTTGTAGAAGTGAACAGTTCTGAATGTGTCCCTTTGTGAGTATACTAGGCCTAAGGACTCATGGCTCATGGCATCTCTTTGTAGATGAGGTGCGCACAGGGACCTACAGGCAGCTGTTTCACCCCGAGCAGCTGATCACCGGGAAGGAAGATGCAGCCAACAATTATGCCAGAGGTCATTACACCATTGGCAAGGAGATAGTTGATCTGGTCCTAGACCGGATCCGTAAACTGGTAAGGAGAGTACTAGAAGGCCTCATGTGGACATTGTCCTGGATGGGAGCATAGGCCTTGGATTGCAACAGGAGCAGGGTGGGGGATGGTGTCAGTTTGCCAAACTCAGGACAGAATCATGAGTCTGACTGAGTAAGCCGTGGTCTTACTGTGGAGTGTGGGTTGTGAGGCATCCATAGTTTTTCCTTTCTGTTTGCTCAGCTCCTAAGTGTAGTGCATGTTCATTAGAGACCATATGAACATGTGTGAACCTGCAGAGGCAAAGAGAAATGACCCCAGCTTGTTGGAGGTTGGTGGTGTGGCTCCCATAGGCCTTGGCTCATGTTGTCTGGCTTCTCTCAGGCAGATCTGTGCACAGGGCTGCAGGGCTTCCTCATCTTCCACAGCTTTGGAGGCGGCACTGGCTCTGGGTTTGCATCTCTGCTTATGGAGCGGCTGTCGGTGGATTACGGCAAGAAGTCCAAGTTGGAGTTTGCCATTTACCCAGCCCCTCAGGTTTCCACAGCTGTGGTGGAGCCCTACAACTCCATCCTGACCACCCACACCACCCTGGAACATTCTGACTGTGCCTTCATGGTGGACAACGAAGCCATCTATGACATATGTCGGCGCAACCTTGACATCGAACGTCCCACATACACCAACCTCAATCGCCTGATTGGGCAGATTGTGTCCTCCATCACAGCCTCCCTGCGATTCGATGGGGCCCTGAATGTGGACCTGACAGAATTCCAAACCAACCTGGTGCCATACCCCCGCATCCACTTCCCTCTGGCCACCTATGCCCCGGTCATCTCAGCTGAAAAGGCCTACCACGAGCAGCTGTCTGTGGCGGAGATCACCAATGCTTGCTTTGAGCCGGCCAATCAGATCGTGAAGTGTGACCCTCGCCATGGCAAGTACATGGCCTGCTGCATGTTGTACAGGGGGGACGTAGTCCCAAAAGACGTCAATGCGGCCATCTCCACCATCAAGACCAAGCGCACCATCCAGTTTGTGGATTGGTGTCCAACTGGATTTAAGGTAGGACTGAGTGTTGTGGCATACTTGTGCCTGTCAATAAGCAGCAGACCCGCAGAATAGTGCTGCCCCTGAAGACCCACACCCTTTTGGGAGACTACATCTTGGTCTTTGTCTTGGTCAGAAATTTGTGAACCAAAGAGAGAATATATTCACTGATGTCTTTTGTGCTCCTTTCTGAGTCATCACACGATTATATGTGTAGTTAGGTTTAAATTTTTTTTTTTATAGTTTGAAGGATTTTTGTGCCTCTTTTTCTGGGTATAGAATCAGTGTAGGAGAATGTAGGTTGAACTTAGAAATGTAGTTTTATTGACATTGTGGTAATTCATGTGGACAAGATATATTATTTCTTCTTTTTTTTTGTAAAGATGATGTCTCATTATGTTGGCTGGCCAGGCTGGTCTTGAACTCCTGGCCTCAAGCATTCTTTCCGCCTTGGCCACCCAAAGTACTGGGATTACAGGTGTGAGCCACCTTGCCTGACCTATGTTTTATTATAACTGGGTATTACTATAAATTGTCTGCCGTCCCTAAATCCCACTTTATCCTTAGGTATGTAGAAATGAAATCAATTTAAATGTCCCATGGAGTGTTTGATTTAAAGAAAAACGATCATGAATCTTTTTGTTATGGAAACGTTGACATCTTTCTTTATGCCCACTAGTAATTCTCACTTGAGTTTGCCTTGAACATATGTCTTGTATCAACTTTCCACCAACATACAAAAGAAACCTTGCTGTCCCTTTTCAGGTTTTCCCATAGTTGGTTACTGAATCCTGTCAATTCTCTTTCTCTTGAGTCTTTGAGCTTTGCTTTCCATGCCTCCTGTTTGGTTCACACCCTCATTGCCTTGGTAAGACCACTGCAGTGAAGTCTTACCTAGGATTTCCTACTCTGGGGTCTCTTCCTCTCCTTCAGGGGCTAGCATGCTTGGTGGACCAGCTGCCTGATTTTGTAAATAAGCTTTTTGTCTGAACATAGCCACACCCCTTCTTCTGTGTATGTGCCTGCTTCTGCTGTACAAGACTGAAGTGTGACAGGCAGGTGTGACAGAGATCCTTTTCCCCCAAACAGCCTAGAATTTGTATGACTCTGCCCTTTAAAAGAATGAGTGTGCTGATACCTGCCCTAGCTCGTCCTGTGTACTTTTCCCTGGTTCTGAAACTTGCAATGCCTTCCTTCCCTTTCATTTCCACCTTGGAATGTCACCCTCACTTATGAAGGCCAATAGACTACCTGTTGCAGCTGCAGTAGCAGCATTCATATGACCCTTGACCTTGGATCTATCACCAAGGAGGCTCATATGGCCACAGTGGCTCATTGGTGGTCAGCAGGGGGTATGACTTTCCCATGACACCACAGTTGTATACTCAAAGTATCAGTCACAGCAATTCATCACTCTTCTTAAAGCCTATGGAGGAAATAATCTACAAGGAAGACAAGGCAGTGTACATTTTTAGAGGAAAGACAGAATCCCTTTGCTTGAGCACCTGTCACATGTCACAGTTGCTAGGACACAGCCCTTCAGGCAGCTTGGGACCCAGCCAGGGTGGCCACCTTCAAGGCTCTTTCCCTTTTTCCTTTTCCGGAACTGTCTCTCTGCTGTCCTGGCACCCTGCCTGGTGCAGGAAGGGGTTCAGTTACTGTTTGTGAAGTAAAGCAAGCGTTCTCCATAGTCACCAGCAGTGTGACTGGGACACCTACCTCATGTCTTCTGTTTGAGGAAAAAGAATCGCCATTTCTGGGTTTGACACAAGCTTCATAAGATGCTTTCTTCCCCTTCTCTGGCAGGTGGGCATCAATTACCAGCCTCCCACTGTGGTCCCTGGAGGAGACCTGGCCAAGGTGCAGCGGGCTGTGTGCATGCTGAGCAACACCACAGCCATTGCCGAGGCCTGGGCCCGCCTGGACCATAAGTTTGACCTCATGTATGCCAAGCGGGCCTTTGTGCACTGGTACGTGGGAGAAGGCATGGAGGAAGGGGAGTTCTCTGAGGCCCGTGAAGACTTGGCTGCTCTGGAGAAGGATTATGAAGAGGTGGGTGTGGATTCTGTGGAAGCTGAGGCTGAGGAAGGGGAAGAATACTGAGGAAGGATGCCACGGGCAGGTGCTCCTCTCTCCCGCCATCCCCAGCATAGCTTCTTTTAAGGTGATTACAATTAAAGTTTCACTATAAAGTTTCTGTGTTGCCTCTTGCTTCTGCCTGCAGGAGTGGTCATATCCTAGATCTGTGAGGACAGTGGTTGGGCCCCCCAGCTGGCAGTGCTAGAGTGGCAGTAGGATACAGGTCTGCTGTGCATAATGCATGAGTTCCCATTGAAGTGACTTGACCCAGGGGAAATACACTTTATAGCCAAGGTTTCAGGGTAGAAAGATTTATTAATTCTAGGAAAGCCGAGTCAGGGTTTTCCATTGAATTTGCTATTTTGGAGGGCTTCTCTTGGGGACATGGTATATAAAATATAAAAGCTTAGAGATGGAGAGCTTATACCTGAGGTATGTGGGTGGGAGTGTCCAGGAAATCTTACAACTGTGGGTCACATGGTTAAGGTCAGGACACATCTTGTTGGGAGAGTAGCTACTGGATCCTCCATGGCATTCATGACCCACAGAAGGATACAACAGCCACCCTGACCTCACTGCTCCGAGGTGACCTGCAAGGCAGCATTCTCCTTCCGTGCTCACACACAGCCACTTTGCTCTCTGCACTGTCAATGGTCTTGGTAGAAAGCATCACATTTTTACTGCAAGTGAAGTGTGCTGACTTCTATGTGTAAAAGGACTGGCAACCCATAGATTTTCTCTCAGAACCAAAATTAGGTCCAGGAAGGTGAATATTTAAGTCACCTGGTTAGTTCAGCTATATAGCACAATCAGGGCCTGCAGAAAGAACTCATTCTAGTCTTTGTGCCTTAATATGTTCAAAAATGGAAGAGAACGGCTGGATTGGAACCTCCACTTTCAGAAGGATTTATTATCAAAGGAAACAATTTGTGGCCTTTTAGCCTTTGTTGGAAGACCTCTGTGTGTCAAGTCTCTGACACGGCCTAGGTGCTGTTCCGGGTGGGGCTCTTCCTGGGTCCGCCCCCCTTGGGAAGCCTGGTGGCACTGGGCTGGCGGGGCATCCTCTGGCTGGATCCTTCACGTCCCCCACGTTCTGCCAGGGCTGCTGCTCCACTGAGAGCAGTGCTGCCTTTGTTCCTCCCTGGGGAGACAGAGCACACCCATTAGGAACATCATAAGCTCATAATTGCAGCACATCCTACAGTTGCGTTCCTTGCACAAAATTTTTGTCTATATGTTTCTGTCAAAGCTGTTTCATCTGGAGATACCACATCAGCCCCAGGTCCTGAGGCTCAGACCCCAAAAGACAACTCATCCCCCAGAAGCCCATGGCGAGTATAGAGCCCTTTAAGATATGTGCAGGATAAGGCCATGCAAGGATTGATCAGGAATGCCTTGGAGGGACACTCATCCTGGGTCCATTTAGGGAAAAGATGCTCGGCTGGTTCATACCTGGCCTGGACAGAACACGTGATCTTCCCCAACTGCACCAGCAGTGGCAGGAGGGCTCACTGCCTCCTCCTCTCTGGGTACATGTCCATACCAAACCACCCATCTGAACTGTCTCAGACTGACAGGCAGGATACACATCAGGCTCCAAGTCCTGAAGTCAAGTTTCTGATTTTGATCTTGGAAGCCCTTCCCTGCACTGTTTCCGCTATACTCGAGTACTCTGTAAGCAGTGGACAAGCTTCCTGCTCTCGGGTTAGCTACTGGGTTCCATGCTGGGTTCCTGCCAAGGTGTCACTTCTTGAGACTTTCCTTTGACCACTAGACAGCCACCCTCACACAAAACCCATGGGTTCAGATGTTTCTTGATTGGTAATTTGCTTATTTGATCGTTTTTTATGAGGTCAGCCAAAGACCTGCAACCACACTAGGGCCACAGCTTCATTTTAAAGGAGTAGCTTACCCTGGGTTCAGGGTGTTGACAACTTTAGCAAGACTGACTGAAGGGACTCTGTGGGGCACAAATGTGCCCAGGGAGCAGGCTTACTGCTGGTGTCACAGTCCCCCTCAGTGCCTTAGCCCATGCTTTCCTCCACTCTGGCTTGAATGGTCTGCCCTGTGGAATCTAACCAGGGCTTGTGTCCCTGTCTGACCCTCAGTATAGGTCTCCCCCAGTCTCCCTTTTCCTGTGTTGTGACTGAGAAACATAGTGCCTTGACTCTGATCTGGCTAGCTGCATGTTTTCTCTTTGCTGAACCCAAACTTGGCCTTTAATATTCCACAAACTGATCAACATGTTTAGGTTGCCTTGAAACACTGAAAGATCAGTCATGTTGCTAAACATATAGGAGCTGACCCTGCTCCCAGCCAGAGTCCTTAAACCCTCATATAAACTCCATCCCTGATGCCGTCGGATGTTCCTAGGTAGAACACTTCTGCCCTCACTATCCTGTCCATGGTGAGGCCGTGCTGCACCCTCCTGTATGTGTGTTCCCCTAATAAATGCTTCAGACTGATCACCCTGGCCTGATCTTGAAAGGGTTTGGGGAAGAACCTTGTAACTCCCCTGCTGCTCGTTTTGGGGAGACTCCAGCCAAGGAGTTGGCAGGATGGAGCACCCAGTCTTGTCCAGGTTCATCACATTTAGTCAAATAGCTTGTAAAAGGGAACTGAGAATTATTGGAGAAAAGATGCAACAAGGTGTCTTTGTGGCCCATTAATCATGTGTTTCACCATTTGTTACCTTGAGCAAGCAGAGGTACCTGCATCTGAAACCCAAGACCTCAGGTCCCCCAGGGCCACCTCCAGCTCACTTTCCATGCTGTCTATACTGACAGTGACATTCTCCCCAAATTCCAACAGAACGGCCCAACTTGAGTTTCTAGAAAGTTCTTTCTCAGAGGAGGAGGAATTTCTGCTGCCCAGTGGGGTGAGGTTACAGTGCAGATACACGTGGTGCACTGGCAGATCATCCTCATTTCCTGTGGTCTTCCCCTGCCTTGCCTTCCCGAGCTCCACCCTCAAGTGCTCATACACACTGAATTCCATAAAGATGTAGTCAGGGTCACCCAGAGCCAGAGGCATCATGGCCAGGAGCATGGGGTGGGTGACATTGGACCAATCAGCTTACCAGTGACTTGTGAAAAAGATACCAAGCAAAGAACTGCTGCCACACATTTTATTTGCTACAAAATGGTATTTTTCCGTTTCCCACTAATTGGACAAGGGGCAAAGACCTCGTCTCCTCTGAGTGGATGGGACCCACCACCCTGTTTCATTCCCAATAAGAGGCCAGCCTCCTCTGAGGCCACAGGCCCTCTGCAGGCCAGGTTGGGCAGCAGCTTAAGCTGGGTGCTCAGGTGCCCATGCCTGGCAAGGGGCATTTTATGACAGGTACAGAAATACAGCTTAGGGGTAATTCCCACTCAGCTCCCCCAGGAAGTGCAGGGTGGGCCTCAGACGTGGCCTTACACCTGAGTTTCCTTAAACCTCAGAGAAATGACCAGGGCACTTCTGAAAACTCAAGAAGGATGAGGCATAGTAGGATAGAGCAAATAATGCTTATCTTGTCCTCTGACCAGGCTGAAAAACCCTGGGTATATGACATCAACACAACTTTGGCCCACAGATGACATCAAGAAAACAATCCTTAAACCCTTCAGGAATCACATGCTCATTAGAGGGGAGCCCTGTTCAGGCCTCCTCTTTTAACACAAGGGCCAGGAGGTCCACACCAGCCTGGTTGTGAACCCAAGGAGAATGGTCAGCAGCAAGTGAGGGGGAGGACCAAGCAGTGCCTTCAGTGGAAAGACCAGCCTGCTCACCCTGCTCACCAGGGCTTGCCTATTAGGGTCAGACAGGCTGGAGGACATGAACCAATGTGGCTGCAGGTTGTGGTGGCCAGGTGGTAGCCATTGATATTCCTGGACCAGCTGGGTCCCTGGAAGGCCCTCTTATTTGCCAAAGATAGACAATGCCCACTGAATGTTAACAGCCTGGCACATTCTTCTCAAGATCAGTGCTCCTACCACCCCTGAAACCAGCTGGTGGCCAATCCGTGTTTTGTGAGCCCCTAATGAAACAAAACCTCAAAATGCAGTTCTGATTATCCAGGGAGTCCCTGAAGCCAACAAGTGGGCCAGTCTGGGGTGGGAACCCATCTGCCATACACCTTTGTTGTGAGTCTGACTTACTACTCCCTGTTAATTCTGGGCAGAGCTGATGGAGGATGGAAATTTGTCCCTAAGAATACCCATCCACCTTTCATAGTGAGAGTGCCAACTTGCAGCAACATGGGCCAGCAGGCACTTGTGTTAGGAAAAGAGCAGAGGTGAGGCAAGGAAGGGAGGAAAGACAATGCAGGAGAGGGAAGGAAAACACTACTGGCCCTATTTCAGGAGCACCACTGTGACAGTGTTGATGCCACTGCCAATTGCAGCACAACAGGCTATTCTAAATCTTCACAAGCACATGTGTCGAGCCACTTGTGCTCCCCAGGTTAAGTGCTTAGTTCTCCTTGAGGCCAGCTGGCAGGGTTTGATAGCCAGAGAATAGGTGGCTAGGGCGGTCTGGACAGTCATGAGTTGTCACCAACTAGTACTTCTGCCTTCTGGCCAGGCACATGGTGGAGGCCTAATTAACACAGACCTAGTGACAATGACAGATGTGCACACATGCAGTTTTCACTCTTAACTCAGCCCACACTTCCTGGGATGGTGTTTTTCCCTGGGACTTTCCTAGAGCCCTCTTCCTGTATATGTACACACAGACACCAATGCATACACATGCACACATACCCTTGACTCGGGGATTCTGGAGAAAGTGCATTGTAGATGTGCTGGGGCAGCACTGTCCAGCAGGAATATAGTACAAGCAACACAGGTAATTTTAAATTTTCTAGTGGTTATGTTCAAAAGTAAAAGTTACTGGGAAATGATTCCAATAATGTATTTTATTTGTTTATTTAAGTATGTATGTATATGTTTGAGTTGGGAGGTCCCACTCTGTTACCCATGCTGGAGTGCAGTGGTATGATCACAGTTCATTGCAGCCTCAACCTCATGGCCTCAGGTGATCCTTCTACCTTAGTCTCTCAAGTAGCTGGAACTATAGGTGGCGCCACCATGCTCGGCTCATTTTTTAAATGTTTTTGTAGAGACAAGGTCTTACCATATTGTCCAGGTTGACCTTGAACTAATGGGCTCAAGCAGTCCTCCCACCTTAGCCTCTTACATGCCTGTGTTAGGGTTACAGGCATAAGCCACTGCACCCATCCCCAATAATGTATTTTAATTAACTTAAAATATTCAATGTAGCATCATTTCAACATGTATTCAAGACAAACAATACACAAGATGCTGCATGCACTTTTGCACCAGCTGTTCAGTACCCGCTGTGTATTATACACACAGGGCAGCATGACCACAACAGTCACATGTGGCTCATAGCCTCTGTATCAGGCAGCATAGCTCATGTGACACAGCTTCCACACAACAAATGACATTTGACATGCTCTGGAGGGACATCTTTAGCGTAGTTTCCCTAAACTTTGAGAACACTCAACTGAATTTGAGTTCCCCACATTAGCTCCAGACTCTCATCATGACAAGGATTACTCCCCTGTGCCTCTGGGGTCTTCTGTTTCCCCCAACTCTGCTGGACAAGATTGAGCTTGGTGGTGGTGGTCCCACAGGCTACCTGGATGGCTGGGGTCAGGAATCTACATTTCCAGGAATGCCTGCAACAGCTCATGGAAGCAAGCCCTGAGTGGGTCCAGGCCCTGGCCTGGACCAACTTCACACCCAGTCCTGTGGGAAATCTACAGGTACCACATCCCTCCAGCTGGATCACTCTGACAACTTCCCTTACTCTCTCTACTTCAGATTCTGCCATTAACAGGGCATCAGAAGGTCTCTTTTGTCAGAGGCTGTGCATGGTAGCCTCAGAGATCTGACTCTCTGCCGCAGTACACCCCTGGTGTGGTTGCATGTCTGCCCTGCTTCCCTCCACTGCTTCCCTAGGGCTCACATTTGCCTCCACTGGGCAATTCTCAGGGACTCCATGTCCTTGTCCTGGCCAACTGCTGTCCAGTCTAGCAGGACGAGGGCCTGGGTTGTGCTTCCAGGACTGAGCCCTGGAGGAACACATGGGCCACTCCCGCCCTGGTGGGGAAGGCTGCCTCCTCACCTTCCTGGGAGCCCCATTCACTTACGTGGTACCCCCCTCATCCTTCTGGTCCCTCTGTGCCCATACTCCCAGTACCATGAATCCCATAAACCCCTTAACTAGAGATTCTTCTCTCTACCTCCTCCTGCCCAGACAACCTACATGCAGCTGTGGTCCCACGCTTCACCCAGCCCCTTCTGCCATTCCAGCTCACTGGGCTGTAGCGCCCCTGCCTGAAAGACCCTGCTGACCCCTCCTGCCCCTATTCTGTTTAGCCCTTGTTAAACTGGACTGAACGTGTCCATCTCATGTCCTCAGTGCTGAGAGCCAGGCCTAGCACACAGAGTCACTGAGTGAATGAGCAGCACTGTCCCCTGGTATGATGAGGACTCCATTCCCAGTTTCTCCCTCCCTCTGGAAACTTACCCTTTGATTCCTCATCTCAGCCTGTGGTCCACCCACCCCTGCCCTGCCCCTCCGCCCTTCCCCATTCTCCCTGGACCTGAGCTCCAGGTGGCACCTGGAGCAGTGAGGTGAGGAGGAACATGGCAAAGGGCACAACCAGAGCACCTCAGGCTCTCGTACACCCCTGGCTCTGGGTCTCTGGCCTCACCACATCTGGTAACACCTGGAAGATACCCCAAGCTCAGGAATGAGGCAGGAAGGGAAACTCTGTTTTGGTGCATGGCTGATGGGAGAAGTACACATTGTTCATATGATGCTGCCAGGGAGCCTCAGGGAAAGCAGAAGCATCTGATTTCTCCTGCAGACTTCCCAACCAGGTAGGAGACAGCTTCTTAGAGGCCGGGGTGTTTCTCATATCTGAGGCTGTGCCCTCCACAGCACACTATGCTGCTTCTGGCCTGCTCTCCTCCTTCTGGAATGTGGGCTCTTCACAGAGTGCAAGTCTTATTCACCAAAGTAAGCCTCTGGAGTGTAGGGAGTATTGATCCCATCCCCTGATGCCAGCCTGACTGCACATCCTAGAAGCACTGCAGTATTGTGTCTCTAATAAACCAAGCCAGAAATTGTGCCCTGTCCCTATGGCGAGGGACAGTGATGGCCAACACTGTCCAGGGTCCTGCAGTTGCAGCTCAAAGCTGCTCAGGCTTCATAGGGCCATGACAGTGTCCATGGAAACAAGGGTGAGCACCAACCCCTAGAGATAAGCCAATAAACACAACCTGCAAAAGGAGATAACAGGCAGCAAGAGAAGCGGAGGGAACTGGGGGGCCCTGGAGAGAGAGGCGAGTGCGAGGCAGCTGGGTTGTGGAGCCGAACCGGAGAGGCCGCACGCTGTGGGCACAAGGAAAAGGAGGGCCTTGCAGTGGGGCTACTGTTTCTGGCAGAGAGAAAGGAGGCCTCTGGAGGTCAGAGAGAGACACACAAAGAGAGCAGACAGAGCATAGGTCAGTGAGGAGGGCGGAGCACAAGTGCCTGGGGTCTCTCAGGGCAGCAGGTGTGGGTGCCCAGGGCCCCAGCTCCCCCCACCAGGGCCAGCCTGTCCTCTGCCCCTTCTCAGGATGTCTGTGCTGGTGTCTTTGTGCTTCCAGGCAGGAGTAAGCCCTGGACCTCCTTCCATTTGCCTGGGAGGTTCTGCTGCATTTCAGGGCATTTGCAATAGCCTTTGAGGCAGAAGCGATATGTAAGGAGGATAAGCAGGGACCAGAGGCTCCACCATGTACCAGTTATGACCCTCAAGAGTGAAGAGACCCTTCAACCCTGAGCCCCCAGGTGATCTGTCCCTCAGACCTCTGTACCCTGGGAGCTCTGAGTGTTCTGGGGCAGCCAGGGGCTGTCACGTCAACCAGTGTTGCAATCCTCAGAGGAAAGGTGGCCATGGGCCCCCGAGACCCAAGAATGACTGTGGTACAGGCAAGGGGGTGGCTCTCTGACTGCCCGGCTAACTGAGGACTTCCCCGGAGGCTGTAATGCCACAGGACAGGGACCAAAGCCATCTTTATTCCTGTGTTTGGGATGAAGGCATGAGTGCAGATGAGCCCCGGCTGCCTGGACCACCCACTCTGCATCCACCTGACCTGGACACCACTCCATGATAGCCGCGAAGCCAGGGACCAGAGCCTAGGATTGGGCCCAGCAGGTCCTGGGAAAAGGTCGACAGTGAGACATGGCCACTCAGGGCCAAGGCTGTGCTGTGTGTGCCTGTCCTCCTCTCTGGCCTGCCACCCACACCTCCAGGCAGGAAGCACCGAGCACAGCTCTGACCTCGGGTCTCAGGCATGCTCGACGTGGGCAGCGACACGGCCACAGGGTCCTGGGGTTCACTCGCCAGCCTCTGTCCGGCACACATGGACTTGAGCATCTGGAATACGGCCAGGGGGGCCACGTTCAGTTTCAGCAGGTCCACCAGGATCCTGGTGAAAAGAAGTGCAGCGCGCAGTGAGCTCCCCCTCTACCCCCCAGGCCAGGCCTACTCCCTGAGGAGCTCCCTGCTCCAGGAGGGCCACCTCCCCGAAGACCCCGACAGGGAGCAGGCCCGGGCCAGGGACCCGAGAGTAGAGCGCCACAAGCCTACCCGCCCGCTCACTTGAACACGTCAGGGTCGATGGCGCCGCCCGCCGCCTGCGCCAGCTCGTACAGTTCCATCTCTTCCGCGCTCAGCACCTTCTTCCGCCGCAGCGCGAGCTTCTGCCGGGACGCTTCCAGGCCCACGGGCGCTCCCGGCCCACACCCGGCACCCGACGCCGCCATCCGCGCGGACTGCCAGAAAATGCACGCCCAACCCCGCCCTTTCCAGCCGCCGCGCGTTCCCACTGCGCCCTCCCCCGGCCGTGGATCCTCTCGCTGCAGAGCAGCCGCCGGGCCCCCCAGACAGCCCCAGCCGGGATGCGGGTCCGGGGCCTGTTCACGGCGACACTGGATCTCCAGACTTTTGTTAAGCGCCTACTATGTGTTGGGTGGTGTGTTAGGCGACGAGGATGGCACGGCGGACCGCAGAGGCTGCTCCTTTGCGACCAGGGCTTCCATGATAAACTGCATTAATCGTGCTCACTTAAGTAGCAGCACCCAGTTCAGTGCCAGGCATATACTGGGCGCTCAATAAATATGCTTGTTGGAAGAACGGCATTCAATGTAGAGTGTAATTGTTCAGCGCTGGTTTCCCACTAGGGGGCGAACCTCGAAGGCGCTAATAAACGGCTTCTGCTAATGCGCAGGCGCACTCCTTGCCGTGGATAAAACCGAGTTCAGATGAAGGGGCTCCGCGGCCACCGGTTACGCAGGAGCATTCGTCTGCGTATTCTCCCGCCCTCCCCTTCTTGCGTGCGCCACCAGAACGGCTGGACTTCGCTTTTGCGCACGCGCCTTGTGACACAGCATCCCAATGATGTAGGGACACTTTTCCCGCCTGACCAGAGGGGCGTGACGCAGCGCGCAGCTTGATGACGACATTTCGGCGCCCGATGGCCGGAAGGTGCTTTCCATCCCTGAAGCGGGCGGCGCAGTGGGTCTCACAGGTGTGTAGCGCAGCGCGCACTGTACGGCCCCGCGCCAGGATGGCTTCCTAGAACCCCTGCCGAGAGGCCATCTCCGTTCCTGCGCGAGTCCCGGGACTCGGGCCTGGCTCCGCTTTCTCTGCCCGGGCCCGGCTCCTCTGCCCGGGCCGGGCCGGCGGGAGGCCGAGGGCCCCGATTGGGCCCTTCTGTCATCCTCCTGGGTTATGCCTTTCAGCCACCTTCCCGCACGGCTCGCACACGCCATCTCGGTAAGCGCTCGGTAACGTTCGTTGAGGGAAGGAGAGCGAGTTAAAGTTGAGCCTTGGGCTCGACGGGAAATGTGGGAGGAAGAGCCGGCAATGGGTCACTGCTCGACCCTTCCCCCTGAGTGGCTCTACTTCTCCGAACCTCGGCTTCCTCATTTTTAATAGGGAGGTCCTGATGCCTAATTTCAGGACAGTTGTGCACAACAGGCGACACATGCTGCTGCTGCTGCTCGGAGAGAGCCAAGGGAGGACGTGCATTTGCTTGGCAAGATTGGCGCTGCCTGTGGGCTGTCGCCCTCAGAAGAAGCCCCGAAACAGGATCCGAAGCAGATCCTCAAGAAAATGGATGTTGAAGGGATGGGAAGAATCGGACGGTCGGTGCGCAGCGACCGGAGGGGTGTGATGGGGAACTTGGCCGCGGCAGGGTCAGAGAACTGGGATGCGGGAGACGCCACCCTCTCTTGGAAATTCCCGGGCTTGACGCCTTTGGGCCTCATTCTTTGCTGCCTATGAAAGCTTCCTCTGAGCAAAGAGATGCTTTCACATCATCACCTCTAAAGCTCTGCCCTTATCAAACAGTCCTGATGTTACGCTGCTTTGATCATTTTGGAGCAGTGCACAGTGTTTTCTTGATCAGGACTGAGGTGTTTTATTTAATTTTCCTTATCTCTGAAGTTGGTAGCTAGTTTAAGAAGGGAAGAAACCTGGAAGGTATTCCTGTTGACAACTACCAGAGATTCCCGTCTCCTCTCAACCCCCAAATGCCTATATGACCTCCTTACACCCAATCTTTCTTCTTCCACATAGACTGTCAGTTGCTTCCCCAGTGCCTTTATTTGTGCTGAGGGCAGAGCTGTGCCAGGAACACTGTTACTAGCCCATCAGTGGAACTTGGCAGGCTTCCTCTCTACTCAGACCAAGTCAGTATTTTCTGTTTCTGATCTGGGTGGGCAGAGAGGTAGAGATCTTGGGAGCAGATCCTCATTTTCTGGTGGCTTGTTCAAAGGCTCTCTTGGTAGAGCCTGTTCTTCCCCACCATTGACTGCATAAAACTCAGGTAACATGGAGGGGATTGACCCTCCTGTCTCAGATTTCTGAGTTCTGTGTTTTTGTATAATGGTTCTGCCATTTACTAATGGATACGGGCAAGTGGTTTATCCCCTTTCTGCCTCTGTTTGCTTGTCTGTGCTGACCTCATAGGGTTGTGAGGATGTATATTTTATTCTTGTTTAACAAATAAATGGGAGCAGTTTAAACCAGCTCCCATTTATTATCTCAGTTATGTAATCAGAAGTCCAGGCAGCCTCATCTGGGTAACACAAGACTGAAGTCAAAGGTGTTTCTTAATCTGAAAGTTCCAGGGAAGAATAAACTTTCAAACTCATTTAGATTGAGGATGGACTTCAATTCTTTGTTGTTGTACAGCTAAGGTCCCTGTTTCCTTGCTGGCTGTGAGCTGGGGACTACTTAAGTTCCACTGACTTAGGACTTTAATTGTTTCTGCAAAGTCCCTTCATAGCAGTACCTAGCTGAGTGTTGATTGAAGAACTAGGGGACACAATCTTGAGAGGAGGAGTTATCTTTAGACTTCTGCCTACTACTGAGGATTAAATGAGGAAAAACATGGAGAAATATATAAAGCTGGCTACTGTAGACTGCATCTTTTTTTTTTAAGCTAGTCAAACAGTGGGAGTGGAGAAGTTATAAAAAAAAATCTGTAACTGGTTGTGATCAATTAGTTGTAAACACCACTGCACTTTGACCAACTGAGAATGTTTCTGTAAAACGTGACAATTGGCAGTGCAGTGTGGATTAGAGTTGTACAAATGTTTTCTTGGGCATTGTGAAACTATACATAATATTCTGTTAGTGTCAAGTGTGGTGGCTCACACCTATAATTCCAGTGCTTTGGGAGGCCAAGGCAAGAGGATTGCTTGAGGTCACAAATTGGAGACCAACCTAGGCAATATAGCAAGACCTCACTCATCTCTACACACAAAAAATTAAAAATTAGCTGAGCATGGTGGCATGTGCCTGTAGTCCTAGTTACAAGGGAGGCTGAGGTGGGAGGATTGCTTAAACTCAGGTGTTTGAGGTTGTAGTAAGCTGTTATTGAGCCACGGCACTTCAGCTTGGATGACCCTAACTCTAAAAAAAAAAAATATATTCTTTTTAAAAAAATTTTTATTTTCCATGATGTCAAATGCTGCAGACAAAAAAATATTATGTTGCATGGCAGATATTGAGATTTTGTCTTTGTTTTCCTACAGTGGTTTCTTAAGGTGGCCATTTTTGACTCTCGTGTGGAGGCTGCAATGGCATTCCCTCACCTGCAGCAGCCCAGCTTCCTACTGGTAAATATCAACTGCCTGCATGGGTGTCAGTGTGACTGTAGCTCTGTGGCTGAGAAATTTCACAGTTCTTTCCATTGACTTGAAGAAGTATGTAATGGTTGTCTTTTAGGGAAGTATGATGGCTATAATACCCAACTTGAGGTTAAAATCCTTCAGCTTGACTTTGCCTCCTTATTACTACAAGACCATGGGTTTGCTCAACCTCTGAGCTCTGGTTTTCTCATCCACAAGACAAGTTAGTTCAAAAGCCATTTTCTCTACTTCTAAGGATATGGGGAGGAGCAACTGAAAAGGATGTACATCAAAATGTTAATGACCTTTAAATCCTTATGCAGATATGAGGCATTCTATAATTGTAACCGTCACCAGTGAAAAATGGAGAGACTACTATATGGAGGGCAGCTCGAACTTTAAATATTAAAAATGATACTGAGAGCCAGATATAATGGTGTGTGTCTATAGGCCCAACTTCTTGGAAAGCTGAGGATTACTTGAGCCCAGGAATTCGAGGCTGCAGTGAACCATGATTGTCCCATTGCTTTTCAGCCTGGGTAACAGACCAAGACCTCATCTCTAGAAAAAAATAATACTGAGAAATTAGGGGTGAGTCGAGTATTGGAGAAGAAAATGCCTAGTTTCAGTTTCCAGAAGATGCTTTTTACAAACATGTGGAAGAACATCCTTCCTTGTTATACCCCACTACAGCCATCAGGTCTCATCTCTGTCAGACCTTATGAAATCTACCCTCATTTGGAGGTAGGCAAGGATGTCCTTGGGCAAAACCCTCTAGGTTGAAATTCTGACAGTTCCTCCTGATCTTAATCTGTTTGCACAGAGTTTTTCTTCTTATAGTCAGGATGCTTTTTCTACACCTCTGACTTCAGGTAGATTCCTCAGTCCTTGTCCTGAATGTTTTCTGGCCTCTACATTGCCTTCATGTTAGTGTCAACTTGGCTGAAGGCGTCCATAATTTTAGCTTGCCCTGTGTTCAGTAGATTCACTGTCTACTGAATAAAGGACAACTTGGTTAAGAGAGCTTCTGCCATAGCCCTGATTTTGTTGGACATTCTCACTAATGATCACAGTGGTGTAATTATGGGCGGTCAGTCAGGTGGGAAGTTTCCAACTGATGTTTATAAACTCAGTGAATATTCTGTGGTCTGTGAGGGGTACCTTACACAACAGGGATCCTCTCCTGGCTGTGGAACTGATCCTGGGATTGACCCCTGCTTATGGATCAGCATACGTCAGTTGTGACATGCAGTGCTCTAAGGTAACTGTAGTCTCCTAAGCGAGTTGGAGAGCTCCTTGTCTAGAGACCATAGAACTTCAGCTTCTCTTCTAGTAGCATCCTTTGGGCCACTGGCATACACATGACCTGATGCATAAGGTACTGGGGAACCAGGCCAGTGGTTGCATATGACACACATCTTGCTTGGATTTCCAGTTTGACTTGAGCCAGAGTAGCACCAGAATTGCAGAACAAATAAATATGCTTATGTTTTTTTTGCTGGGTTCTGTCTTCTAGGCTAGCCTGAAAACTGATTCTGTTAATAAGCCCTTTGCACAGCGGTGCCAAGACTTGGTTAAAGTCATTGAGGATTTTCCAGCAAAGGTATGGCTCTCCTAACATCTCTCTTTGAAGCATGTCTTACACATTTCTTGAAAAATTTCAGTGGCTCATGCCTGTAATCTCAGCACTTTGGGAGGCCAAGGCAGGAGGATCGCTTGAGCCTAAGAGTTGAAGGCCAGCTTAGACAACATAGTGAGACCTTGTCTTTACCACCCCCCCCAAAATTAGTCAGGTATGGTGGGACTCACCTGTAGTCCCAGCTACCTGGGAGTCTGAGGCAGAGGCAGAGGGATCACCTGAGCCAGCAGGATGTCAAAGCTGAGCTGTAATTTTGCCACTGCACTACAGCTTGAGCAACAAAGTAAGACTTTGACTCAAACACACAAAAAAATAAGATGAAAAACTTTTTTATAGTTCCCAATTCCCCCTATGAGCACTGCCCAGCACCGAGGCATGGCCCAATGTCATGACTGTTACATTTATGGACACATTTTGATGTGAACTTATAAACCAAAGGTTCTCAACCATAGGTGCCTCTGTTGGTCAGGGGACACTTGGCAATATCTGGGACATTCTTGATTGTCACAACTTGGGGTGGATGGGGCATATGCTACTAGCATCTAGTGAGTAGTGAGCATACACCAGAAAGCCATGTGCAACAAAGAAGTATCCATCCCAAAATGTCAATAGTACACTGAGCAATATAGTGAGAATGTATCTCCAAAAAAAAAATTTTTTAATTAGCCAGTGGTGCTTCCCTATAAGCCCAGCTACTTGGGAGGCTGAGGCAGGAAGATCATTTGAGGCCAGGAGTTTTAGACCAGCTTGGACAACATTGCAAGACCCTCAAAGAAAAAAAAGACTGAAATCCAAGATTGATAAACCCTGATGTAAGTACTGGAAATATATATATATATTTTAATTTACTTACTGATTCATTCATTCATTCACTCAAGAGTCTTACTCTGTCACCCAGGCTGGAGTGCAGTGGTATACTCACAGCTACTGCAGCCGCAGCTGGGCTCAGGTGATCCTTCTTCTTCAGCCTTCCAAGTAGCTGTAACTACAGGCACACACACCATGCCCAGCTAAGTTATTTTTGGATTTATTGTAGAGGTGAGGTCTTGCCTAGTTGTCCAGGCTGGTCTCAAACCCCTGGGCTCTCAATCCTCTCGCATCCGCCTCCCAAAATTCTTGAATTACAGGCATGAGTTACTGTGCCTGACCTGAAAAGATGTGCTAAAATCATACCTAAAATTGTTGAGCCAGGAAGCTGACCCGGACAAAGAGTTAATACCAAATGACCATAGTTTATAATTATGTTTCAGGAGTTTCACTCTGAGAAAGGATGTTGTTGCCCTTTATAATAGAGTTTTCGTCACATCAGGTGGTTCCAACATTTTTTTAAAAATCTTCTAATCAGAGCCTGACTTATATAACCTGCCCAAGTCTAAAGTGATGCGCCTTGGTATTCTGTGTAACCCCACTGGAAGGATCCAAAGCTGCTTTTCCCATTGGCATTGCCACACCAGGACTCCTGTGGGACAGGACTGATTCTGAGGGTCTCTGCCGGGGAATGGCCTCCAAGGGAGCTGGGCAGTGCTTGGTACAGGACTGGAGCCAGGGCAGGAGTGGACACTGGTCCTGCCTGCAACCTCTCCACACACTGTTTCAGGAGCTGCACACCATCTTCCCATGGCTGGTGGAGAGCATTTTCGGCAGCCTGGATGGTGTCCTAGTTGGCTGGAACCTCCGCTGCTTACAAGGACGTGTGAACCCTGTGGAGTACAGCATCGCAATGGAATTTCTAGACCCTGGGTAGGTAGGTTTGTTGCCTGAGAGAGGCCAAGTGCTTCCTTATGGCGATCCCGTTTTTAAATCACTCACTCTATTTCTTAATGTTAAGAAACAATCAAAGCAAGACAGTTTGTGGTTCATTTGCCTTTTTTTTTTGCTTGTTCAATTTCATGTTCAGTGGCCCAATGATGAAGTTGGTTTATAAACTTCAAGCTGAAGACTATAGGTTTGACTTTCCTGTCTCCTACCTGCCTGTAAGTAAACTGTGGTGCTCGGGGCAGCAGGCCCTGGCCAGTAGCTGTGATGGTGGGTGGGAGGGGCTCAGAGGGCTGCTGGCAGTGGGCAGGAGAATGTTTCAGTGGCTGTTCAGGGTCCAGGAGGCATCACAAATTAGAACCTCAACAGCTGCTCTTGTTTTGAAGATCATTCCAAACTTTGCCAATGGAGAGGGCATCATGCTGTCTGTTTGCTCCTGGCTGAGGAGCAGACTGGATTATGTTACTTTGCTCTTCTGAATCTCCAGTCTTCCAGGGGCCAATCGAGGAGTGACTTGCTCAGCCATTATGAGGGGCATAGGAGACTGGGCTCAAAGCTGTGCACAGCAGCTGCCCTTGCCGTTTGTAGGTTGTTGAGAGGCTGATAAGAGCTCTTTTGCTTTAGCACTGCCCAGAGGCAGGGCACTGTCCACACAAGTGGGTTGTATGCTAGCCTCTTCCCCAGCAGCCTTCCCGAAGGGCTGCATGTGTGGGGCATCGTGTGTGGCCACCTCAAACGGAACTGGACAGCATGTGGTGCATAACTAGAGCCAGGGCCTGTCCCCGAGTCTCCCTTCCTCTCTCTGCAGGGCCCTGTGAAGGCATCCATCCAGGAGCGTGTCCTCCCTGACAGCCCTCTGTACCACAACAAGGTTCAGTTCCCCCCGACCGGGGGCCTTGGCCTGAATCTGGCCCTCAGTATCCTTTGGTGCCCGAGGGTGGGGAGGTTATGGGTAGCCCAGCACACGGCATTGGGGAGTAGCCCAGCAACCCTGTGTGTTTGCCCCTGACACTGCCCTCAGATCCGTTCGAGTATTACATATTCTACTTCGCCTTGAGCCTCATCACTCAAAAGGTATAGAAGTAATGTCTCTGTGTGCAGTTTGCTTTACTAGATTCCCTTGGAGGGGTGGAACTGTGGCTCAGGGCTTCCTTGCGCTTGTGGGTATTCGGTGGCTGGGCAGTGCCCGGAGCCCACACTAACAGCAAACTTGGTTTTCCAGCCACTCCCTGTGTCCCTCCACGTCCGTACTTCAGACTGTGCCTATTTCATCCTGGTGGACAGGTATCTGTCGTGGTTCCTGCCCACTGAAGGCAGCGTGCCCCCTCCACTCTCCTGTAGCCCAGGGGGAACCAGTCCCTCGCCGGCTCCCAGGTAAGGCTGCCCTGGCCATTAAGTGACTGGTCTGGTCAGTGGCATTGCCTATGGGGATAATCTTGCCACCCCTTGTCCAGGGTTCCCCAATTTTTCTTATACCTCATTCCCCAGCCACAGTGTTATAGTATAGAAGGCAAGGATGAGAAGGGCATCTATCTGTTAGTTTTCAATGTCCATGGCCATCACTGAAGCTGTCAGGTCTCTGGCACCATTGAGGCCTCTACTATGGGAATGGGCTTGTGTTCTGCTTCAGCAGCCCATCTGCTGGTAGTATCTGAGTCCCATATTGAGGTGGTGAGGAGGGTGGAAGGGTTGTCCTACAACAAAAAAAGTAGGAATCTCTGTGGGCCCCAGAACCAGGTCTTGGTCTGAGTGAGAGACCCTGAAGAGCCTTTTGTGCCAGGCCAAGTAGGCTGTGCCTGACTCTGACTGCACAGGTGGGGTGCATACTTGGGGGCTGTCATGCCTCACTGTGCTGGGGCCTCAGTGGGCTCTTACCCAGGGCCTCTAGGCTGATGCTCCACAGGAGACCCTGCTGCCCTGGCAGCAGCTGCCTGTGCTCCTCTGACCTTTAACCTCATTGGCCCCTCTTCCCTAGAAGACTGAGTGCAGGCAATTTCCTGCAGGTGCTGGCCCACCCTGCATCTGTGGGCATGTGCAAGCCCGCCAGACCTTTACCCAGATCTCACACATGTGAACAGATACCCGAGAGAGTGGTATGGGGGAGGGGAGCAGGAGGGAGGAGGGACTGCCCAGGTGGTAGCAGTGACCAGTGATCCAGACATGTTGGTGATGCTGCAGCCAAGGAGGAGGACTTGGAAGTGAGGCAGATTCACATTCTCTCAAAGGCAAAATTCAGATGCCAAGTGGCTTTCTGTGCCTGACTTCTGCTTCTTTGAGCTTTTTATTTTATTTATTTTATTACTATTTTTAGAGACAAGGTATTGCTCTGTCACTCAGGCTGGAGTGCTGAGGCATAGTCATAGCTCACTGCAGCTTCAAACTCCATTCTCCCATCTCAGCCTCCCCAGTAGCTGGGACTACAGGCACGTACCCCCATGCCTGGCTAATTTTTAAAGTTTTTAAATTTTTTTAGAGATGAGATCTCTGTGTTGCTCAGGCTGATCATGAACTCCTGAGTTCAAGTGATCCTCCTGCCCCAGCCTCCTGAGTAGCTAGACTACAGGCGCCGGCCATGGTACTCAGTTAATTTTTGTATTGAAATAGCTACAAACTTACAAAAAGGATGGCATGCATGATATGAAGAACTTTGGGCTGGGCACTGTGGCTCATGCCTGTAATCCCAGCACTTTGGAAGGCTGAGGCAGAAGAATCTTTGAGCCCAGGAGTTCAAGAGCAGCCTGGGCAACATGACAAGACCTCATCTCTACAAAAAATTAAAAAATTAACTGAGTACGGTAGCACGTACCTGTAGTCCCAGCTACTTGAGAGACTGAGGCAGAAGGATCACCTGGGCCCAGAAGATAAAGACTGCAATGAACTGGTATCACACCACTGCACTCCAGCCTGGGTGACAGAGTGAGACCCTTTCTCAAAAAAAGTATACATATGTCAGGCTCTGTGACTCAGCCTATAATCCCAGCACTTTGAGAGGCCAAGGTAAGTGGATTGCCTGAGCCCGCAGGTTCGAGACCAGCCCTGGCAACTTGGCAAGACCTTGTCTCTATAATAAATCAAAAAATTAGCCAGACGTGGTAGCACATGCCTGTAGTTCCAGCTACTTGGAAGGCTGAGGCGGAAGGATTGCTGGAACCCAGCAGGTCAACGCTGAGGTGGCCATGAGTGTGCCACTGCACTCCAGCCTGAGCAGCAGAGTGAGACTCCAACTAAAAAACACACACACACACACACACATATAATGTATATATTATGTATATGTATACATATACATGCACACCTATGTATGTTCCCTATATATTCCACTTATGTTGTATGTATGTATGTATGTTTTCCCACATGCCAACACATTTACATGACATTTTACATATTTTTGCTCTCAGTCCTTCCCACGCATCTCATCAGGAGGCCTGTGGTGTGTCCCTTTCCCCCATTACTGGTGATGGTTGCTTGATCACTGGGCTAAGGAGGTATCAACCACATTTTTCCACTGAAAAATTAAATGAGTACTTTGTGCCCAAATGAATGCATAATGAGAATTTAGCAGGAAGATATATCGAGACTGTGTGATTATCACTAGTGTTAGCATCCATCCACTGTTGATTCTCAGCTAAGTCACTTATTACCAGGGTGGTTGCCAAATGGTGATTTTCTAAATGTCATCCCTCCTACATTGATTAGTGGGTAGTGAGCAGCTTGTGGTAAGGAAGACTTTTCCCTATTTATTAAAATATAACAGTATGGACCTAGGGATAATTGTGTGATTGGACAGGGTATAACCTGTTACTGTTGTCCTGGTTTTGATGTCCAGTTTGCCACTAGCTTGGCTAGCAGAATCCCCTAACTTGGGCCTGTTTTTGTGTCTCCTTCAGAACACCACCCATGCCCTTTGCTTCCTACGGCCTCCACCACACCAGCCTCCTAAAGCGACATATCTCTCATCAGACGTCTGTGAATGCAGACCCTGCCTCCCATGAGATCTGGAGGTCAGAAACACTGCTCCAGGTGAGAGTTGAGGAGCTGGCCTCTAATTCTGTTTTAAAATAAGCTGTCCAGCCACCTTCCTTCACGTAGGGCAGAGTCCCAGAGATGACCCCTCAGCCTGGGACTGGTTCTTACTTGTTGGTATTTTCCTGCCATGATATATAGAAAACAGATGAGAAGAAATCTACCCACTTGTGTAACCTACATATCACTGGTAGTGGTTTTCATGTCAGGATCCCCTGTCCACGGGAGTTTTGTTTTGCCTGTGGTAATATAATCGTTGCAGAGTCTTTTTGCTTCTAGCGGATCTGTATAAATGCTCTCACCACCCTACTCTGTCCCCTGACCTCCCACGTTATTGCTGCTTCCCTGTGATCACCATCACGTGCATGTTAAGTACCGCATATAATAAGTAGTGTCTTTATGACACTGAATGACAAGGGACCTCTGCAGCCTCCACCTTGGTCAACAGGGAAGACTCTGCCTTCTCCACTGAATGGTCTTGGCTTCTGTGTCAGGGCAACCAAATGGGAGTTGGCAGTCCCTTTTCTGCCCATGTGGACTCCAGCCTCACACAGGCTTAGACTGGCTCACCCCCTCAGTGGTCTTGCCCTTCTGAGTACTGGCCACCTCCCAGGCCCTGGCTTTCTCTTCAAGAGCACACCTTGGGGAGATTTGGCTGATTCGACACTAGATCCCGGGGATGACTTGGTAGTTACAGCATTGCTGTTGACAGCCTGGAATGTGAATCTGATGGGATCCCGTCTCTCATACATAACTCCTGGTGTGTGGGTTGGTAGCAGTAATCATCCCTGTTCGCAGAAGGGATATAGTGCCTCAGACGGCTCTCAGCTGTGGTCTCTGGGCTGTGCTGGCCTGTGAGGAGAGCAGGTGACCAAGACATAGGCTTACCGGGCAGAATTGGAGGGTTCTGCTTTTTCCTGGACTGACACATGAATGCTTTTTCTCCCGTTTTTTTCTTGTCTGTTTTGATTTGGGTTTTTTGAGTTGTGTTTCATTCTGTTGCCCAGGCTGCAGTACAGTGACTCGATCACAGCTCACCACAGTCTTAACCTTCTAGGCACGGGCATTCCTTCCACCTCAGCCTCTTGAGCAGCTGGGACTACAAACATGAGCCACAAGCATGAGCCACTGTGCCTAGCCACTTTTTTGTGTGTGTGAGTTAAGAAAAAATTTAAATTGTAAGGTATACATAACATAAACTTTACTCTCCTAACCATTTTTAAGTGTATAGTCAGTAGTGTTGGGTACTTTAACACTTTGGCACATCCAGTCTCCAGAATGCTTTTCATCTTGCAAAATTGAAACAGTACCCATTAATCAACAGCTCCTGATGACCACTCCAGCCCCTGGCAACTACGATTCTGCTTTCTGTTTCTAAGGATTTGACTATTCTAGGTACTCGTATCTAGAGTACTTCTTTAGATCACATAGTACTTACTTTTTATGACTGGTTTATTTCACTCAGCATAATGAACTCCAGGGTTCATCCACATGGTAGCCTGCATTTAGAATTTTTTCCTTTTTGAGGTTGAATGATGTTCCATTGTGTGGATATACCACATTCTGCTTACCCACTCATCTGTCCTTGGCCACTTAGGTTGCTTCCACTTTTTTTGAATAACACTGCCTATGGGTGTACAAATGTCTTGAGATCCTGCTTTCAGCTCCTTAGGGTATATACTCGGAAGTGGAATTGCTAGGTCATATGGTTGTTCTAAGTGTAATGTTTTGAGGAACCACCATACTGTTTTCCACAGCAGCTGCACCATTTTACATGCTCACTAGCAGTGTACCAGGGTTCCAGTTTCTCTACCTGCTTGCCAACACTTGGTGTTTTCTGATTTTTTTAAATAATAGCTACCCTGGTAGGTATAAAGTGGTATCTCATTGTTGTTTTGATTTGCATTTCCCAAATAATTAGCAATGTTGAGCATCTTTTCATGTACTTATTACCCAAGTATATATCTTTGAAGAAGCATCTATTCAAGTCCTTTGTTCATTTTTATTTTTTGTTTGTTTGTTTGTTTGTTTGTTTTAGAGACAGAGTCTCACTGTAGCCCAGGCTGGCGTGCAGGGGCAGAATTATAGCTCACTGCAGTCTCAAAAGCCAGGTCTCAAGCAATCCTCCTGCGTCAGCCTCCAGAGTAACTGGGATTTTAGGCACATATCACCACACTGGCTAATTAATTTTTTATTTTTTTGTAGAGACAGGGTCTTGCTCTGCTGCTCAGGCTGTTTTTAAACATCTGGCTTAAAATGATCTTTCCACCTTGGTCTCCAAAAGTGTTGGCATTACAGGCATGAACTATCAACCCAGCCCCTTTGCCCATTTTTTAAATTAGGTTGTTTTTTGGTTTTGAGTTTTAGGAGTTCTCTACTCTGGTTATTAATCCTTTATCAGATATATGATTTGCAAGTATTTTCTCCTGTTCAGTGGGTTGCCTTTTTACTCTATCAGTAATACCTTTTGATGCATAAGACTTTTGATTTTAATGAAGTCCAGTTGTCAGTTTTTTTCTTTTGTTGCCTGTGCTTTCAGTGTCATATCCAAAAAAATCAGTGCCAAATCCAATGTTATGAAGCTTTTCTCCTATGAGTTTATAGGCTTAGCGCTTATATTTAGGTTGCTGATTCACTTTGAGTTAACTCTTATGTATGCTGTGAGATAAGACTCCAGCTTCCTTCTGCATGTGGATATTCTGTTTTCCCAGCATGTTTGCTGGGGAGACTCTACCTTCCCCATAGAATGGTCTTGACACCATAGATGAGAATGATTTGACCATCTCATGCTCTTTTGCAGGTCTTTGTTGAAATGTGGCTTCATCATTATTCCTTAGAGATGTACCAAAAAATGCAGTCCCCTCATGCCAAGGTATGTTTCCAGTTTTCTTCTCATCTCTTGCCTCTGGCCCTGGTCAGCTGGTTATTTCTTGTGCTCCCTCTGAGTTAGTTTTCATAGGCTGGACGGTGGAAAGCAGAAACCCAGCTCCTACCCCTCACTCAGATGCTGAGCTGGGGGTGGCTGTTGTTCTCCAGTTCAGGGGGAGGTTGCACAGTGACACACAGACACTTGAGACCTGGAGATCTGTCCTGTGTAGGTTCCAGAGCCCCCTCCCTGGCAGTGGGAACGCATGAAGTTGTGGTGCTTTTGCTCTGGGGGCAGGAGACCTCAGTGGTCTCGACCCAGTCTGTTCCCTTTGTGCTTTCTGGTGAGGGTGGGCAGACCCTCACCCACGGTATTGACCTTGAGCCTCCTTTGCCTTCCTACACTGCCCTCCCCTTCCTCGAGAGCATGAAGAAGCAGCTATTTTCCTGATGGGTGGGGCCTGTTGCCCTCCTGCATGCAGCCCTGCCTGCCTCCTACTGCTCCTGGCCTTTTCCTCAGCTCCCTCTCAGGGCAGCACACTCCTCACAGTGGCATGGACATGGTGGTGTCCCTGGCATGCCCCTGGTGACATTGTCCCTGCAGCCAGCACTCCACTGGCCTCATCAGAGTAAAGCAATGACAGAGTAGGTTCTCAAATCCATGTTTAGAGTCACACTCGTTGGGGCAGCTCGAGTCACACAGCCAAGCCTCTGCAGCAGGTGGCATCAGCCACATAGCCTAGTGCCTGTGGTGTCTGTGTATCAGTGTGCTCAGGAGCCTTTGACTTTGTCATTGCTGGACAAAATTCTTGAGGTCTTCCTCCAGAGTGAAGATTCTGTGGGTGATGCAGTTAAAATTGAAAAGTGCATCCTGTAACTTTTCTCTGATTCTGAGGCGAAGCCATGAGTCTGCTCTTGCTGCAGAGTCTCTGCAACCAGTTCTTAGCCCTATGCTCTGCCATGTGAAAGCTCGGGAAGCAGCTTCTGACCCTTGCTCTTTCAGAGTGCAGGGCACCCCAAATCTCCATCCTTGGCATCACATTGCAGAAGGAGGAGAATGGACATAAGCCAAGGACTTCATTCTGGCCCTTTGAGCTATAAAAAGCCTACAATGCCCTTCCTGCTTCCAGAGCAGACTTGCTGCATGAACCTGGCTAGTGGCCAGGGGCCTGGTGGCCAGATTTCCCCATGGTTGACTCGCTAGGCCCTGAGTCTCCTCTGGGGCACGGGGATGCTTGCTCTGCCCTTGCTTGTGGCTTGGCCTGGCAGAGGCAGGGGCTGCTTTGCTGCATGGCCTTCTGTCTTCTAAGAAAGTGGAAACTCCTACTTTTAAGAGCCTACAGAAAGGTCCTTCTGGGCTCTCACCTGTGTTCTGTGCTCTCATGGGCTGGGGAAAGGGGCAGTGAGCTGTCCCTGCCAGGGGCAGGAGATGCCCTGCCTTCTTCCCCACAGTCACTTCTTGGCCACACCTTGGGATGAGTGAAACCTGCTTGGTATGACCTGCAGTGGGGACCCCAAGCACCCAGGGAGGCTCTACCCTTTGCCTTTTCCTGTTGTGGCAGAAAACAAAACCCAAGAAAACTGGGAGGAGTTGGGAGTGGGGAAAGACAGCTGCAAAGGTCCATGTCACTCAAGGTCCCTTGCTGTCAATCGACCTGTGCTGCACCCACCATACAGAAGCCTTTGCCAGACTTGATTGCTAGGTGCAGGAAGTGTGGCTTCCGAGGTTGCCCTCCCTGGCTGGGCTTGGTCCACGCTGCATGCTAGCTCTCCAGCGACCCAGTGGGCAACAAGGAGGGCAACAAGGACGGCCACAGCCCTCACAGGAGGCTGCTGTGAGGCTGCCCTGCATTCCTGCAGGCATCCCACTCAGGAACTGTTGACTCCCAATTCCTGCCTGAGAGCCATAGCTGAGCTCCAGGTCTGGCAGAGGAAGGCTGTGAGAGGGCGTCACCTCCCCACTGTACTTCTTCCTTCCCTGCTCTGCGTGTTTCCTTGGCATTTAGCAAGTGCATTCTGACCTCTCTGGTGAAGTTTGGTGGGCATGCTGCTTGGGCAGGAGGCATGGCCTGCAAAAGGCAAAATTTGCGCCAGTTTGACTTGGGTATGCTTGGCTGAAAGTATGCTTCAGCAGGCCTCGACACTGCAGGGAGTTAGGGTAGAGGGTACCAGGGTAGGGACCAGATATCTGCCAGCTTGGCTGTCATCTGTGTCCTGGATGGTACCATTCTCAAGGTTCCTGCTGCCTCTGGGTGTGTGTGGTGGTGGCCAGATTCTCAGAACTCCTTCCTTCAGGAGCCCTGTGTATCTGGAGGGTTGGGTGTTCTGCTGAGACAGGAGAAGCAGTCTTCCCAGAGTTAAGCTGGCACCTCTACCGATTTTCAGAAAGTGGGATGCAGAAGGTGGAACCTGAGGGCTGAGCCTGTGTTTCTCCCTTTGCTGCCCTTGGGGATCTGTTGTATCTTATTAATTCTCAGAGAGAGCCATTCATGGAAGGGACATTGGATTTTAGACACATCGAAACTGATCATGTTATATACTGATTTGGTAAATTTCTCAAGACAACCCAGGGAAACCCAATCAATTATATAGCTTTCTTTTTCTGGGCAGAGACTCCTCTTTCTAGAATGTGTACTTTCAAAGTTTACTTTCTGAGCCTTGGGGGCTTCAGGGCCTTGGTGGCTGGCAGTGTGTCCTAGCAAGTGCCCCAGGCTCCTGGCAGGCTGTGGCTGCATGTGCCACATGCACTATAGCCTCGGAGCCGGCAGGGAGAGGAGGTTCCTTCTGGAAAGGCAGTGAGTTGGGCCAACTGTATGGAACTAGAGAGGCCTTTGGGCCCCAGTGACATCAAGAGGCCTCCCAGGTGGTATGAGAGTCCTCGTCCCTCTGCCCACAAGGCTGAGGAGAGTGGCTCCTCTGGGCCACTGGGGTGGTGTGCTGGCCTAAGGCTGCTGTGACTATGAGTGTTTGAATTGTCACTGACCATGCTTTTTTTGTTTTTTCTTTTTGCTTCTGGGCTTGTTCTCACTGTGTTCTTTCTCTCCCCTTCTTATCCCTCCCCTTCCCACCCCGTCCTCTCATCCTCTGCTCTCCCTGCCTCTTCTTGGCTTCTCTGTTTTGTTGTCTTAGCTGGAGGTTCTGCACTACCGACTCAGTGTCTCCAGCGCCCTCCACAGCCCTGCCCAACCCAGCCTCCAGGCCCTCCACGCCTACCAAGTACTGGCTGCTCTCATTCTGTTACCTTCCCCTGCCCTATGGTGTAGCCACAGAGTGCATGTCAGCTCTGTGCCAAAACAGAGATCTGGCTGAGGCTGGCTGCGGGTGACTCCAAGGCTAGTTCCGAGCAGAGCAAAGCACATGTGTTTAAGTGGAGGCATGGGTTGGCCTGGCCCCCAGCTTTACAGACTAGCTTGATTTTGGTGGGGGGTGGTCTTGTGATAGAGCAAGGCACTTGGCCCTTGTGGCCAAGTCCTCAGCTGGTAGAGGTGTCGCAAGTTGGAGGGCTTCATGCTTTGCCTGGTTGAGGGGCTGAAATAGGTCCCTGTAATGGCTTGGCTCACTCTGCTGTGCAGGGCCTGCTGCCCTGGGTGGGGCTGGGCATGCAGAGGCCCGAGACTTACAACTTTAGGTAGTGTGTTCTCTGTCCCATTCAAAGCTGTCACCCAGCCTAGAGGTGCAGCAACTCCAAGCCTGTGTGTGAGGTAGAGTGTGGGGAGAACTTGGAACTCAGCCCCACAGCCCCAGAGGCTATCATTCCTTGACAGTCAAGTCACAGCCCACCCTTCCCTGTGGAGACTGGCCACTCTTACACACCCCTGGAGGCAGATGAAAGCAGGCAGTAAGCTCATAGAGATGTCTGCCTCGGCAGAAATGACAAGTATGTGGACTGATCTGAGGTCCTCAAAGTAAAGTTCAGACCTGTAGGGCATTTCAGGGATGACAGAGTTGGCACATTTGTGAAAGCCATGCTGGTGGCCAAGGATCTATCCAGATCACCCTGGAAGGAGCACACGCATATGAATTTGAGCTGAGATGAGAAAACATTGCTTGGCCCTCCATTGCCAGTGGGAGGCGCTGGTGACTGCTGCACACAGCAGAGACTCCATTACACAGGTGCCACTGCAGAGGAGGGACAGCAGGGCCAGGCCCTGGAAGGGAGAGGCAGTGTCCTGGGGAGTGTCTGGCTCCATACCCACATGGCGGCAGGAGAGGTGAGGAGGGAGGCCCTGGGAGTGATGAGCTGAGAGGCTGGGCCTTATGGGAAATACAGGGCTTTGGGGACATGTCTGTAAGTGAGCAGGGAGAGGAAGCCAGGTGCAACTGGCCAGGAGCTCCATGTGGAAATTTGACCCAGGAGAGATGCAGAGCTGGAGGAGAAGTTTGGCTTGGCAAACCTGCGGGGAAGGAACCTGAGAGAGGGTTCCCTGGGTTGTGGGGGATGGGTGGCAGGCACCAGACCCTCCAGACTCTGAGGAAGGACCGGGTGGGGTGGGGCAGGCACATGACAGGGGAAGGCGGGTTCCCAGCTCCCATGTGGTGCTGTCCCCTCCTCTGAGCTGCCAGGATGATATCAAGAATCAGGATCCCAGGCAGAGGTCAGAGTAAGGAGCCAGGAATGAGACTGAAGAAGAAGGCTATGGGGACCTCTGGTGACACTGGTGTCCTGCTAGTCTCTTAGTGTTAGCATAGATGTCCTCTCATACTCCTTACTTTAGAGGCAAATTCATTACACAAAAACTTAGAAATACAGATAAGCAGAAGAAAGTACCTCTCACCCATAGTTCCATCTTCAGACTTAGCTGCTGACGCATTGGCGTCTCACCTGGACCTGTGGGGGCATTTTCTCTGAGTGAACAGTACTGTGGGTAATGGCCTGCGTGTGGTCTGCTGCATCCTGGGATGTGCCAGGAGGATCGGACCTTGCACCAGCCTCAGCACTACAGATGTGTTGAGGCCCAAAGGACTGGAGGCAAGTGTAGGGAGAGAAGAGTGTCCACCCAGACTCAGGGTAATGCCTTTGAAAGACTTCTGTCCACTTGTGAGGCTCCCACCTGTGCTCCCAATGCCAAATAACCTGAAAAACCTTCTGGTTGGAGAAAAGGCTTTCTTCCTGGGTCTGGGGCTCCAAGATCCTGCTTGTATGTTGCAAATCAAAAGTTCAGCCAGCATGCTTGACAGTGCTCCTGTCTTGGGCGTTTTGCTGACCACTAGTCTGTGGACAACAGAGGGAGTGATGCCCCAGTTTGTTTCCTCCTGGGCTGAGCTCCATCTGTCTGTGTCCAGGATGCGGGGAGGCTTGTGGGCCCAGTGAGCTTTGTGCAGACAATGGGAAGCAGGCAAGAGACCCTGCATCCAGGGCTGGGGTAAGGAGATGCCAACCTTCCCCGAGGACTAGGATAGGCAGCAGTACCCAAGTCATAGCCCCTGCCACCCACCCAGGGTGCATGGGCTCATCAGTCACCGTGCAGATGTGCTTGAATGAGCCCTCCCTAGGGTAGAATGTGTAGGTGCTGGGCCAAGCACTTGCCCGCCATGAGCTGGTCTCTGCTCAGACCTAGTGGTGTGAAGTATGTCTGCCAGGCACAGAGGTACCCTGGGGTAGCCCCAGTCCCAGCTGGCTTGTACCTTCTCTGGGGGGCTGGGGATTGTGGACATAGCAGACCTCCCCAGGCTCGACGCCCTCCTCCTTTTCCTCCTCCTCCACCACAGGAGTCATTTACGCCCACCGAGGAGCACGTGCTGGTGGTGCGCCTGCTGCTGAAGCACCTGCATGCCTTTGCCAACAGCCTGAAGCCAGAGCAGGCCTCCCCTTCTGCCCACTCTCATGCCACCAGCCCCCTGGAGGAATTCAAAAGGTGGGTGGGTGTGGGCTCCGCCATACCTCCCTTTTCTTCTCCTCGGGTGTTGCCTACAGACTCTCTTCAGGAGCAGGGCAAGAGGTAGTCCCTTCTTACTCAAAGAGCATGTAAGGCCTCTGCAGGGCTGGGCACATGGGAGATCCCTGGACCCTCCTGGGCATGTCTCCTCACCCCACCCTGCAGGCCAGGTAGCTGCCCTGCTGCATCTTCAGCTCTCAAAGCCAGTGGAAAGAGCCAGGGTAGCCCAGGAGAGGCCTTGTTTGCTGCTCTCTTGGCCCCTGTGGCAGGCAGAGGTGGGAGCACTACACAGATGCATTCAGTACCCAACCTCAGCAGGCCTCAGGCCAGGTGGGGACCATGGCCTGACTTCTTGGCCGACAGGGACCAACAGAATAGGTTCTTGGTGTAGGGCTGAGGTGAGGTACACTCAGGAGCCACACGGGCTTGGCCACCTGCATGCTATGTGTCCAGGAGAGGTTCCCTGACCTATCAGAGCTTAAATTTAATTTCTTCCTCTGAAGAAGGTAAGGCTAAAAATGGGCCTTATCTCTAGGAAGTGCCCAGCGCTCTTTGTCAGCAGAACCAGCCCTCACTAATGGAACCACTGGGCTCACCTATGAGCAGGACCTCATTGGCAAGTGTGGGTGACTCTCCCCTCTCCCCAGGGCCGCCGTCCCAAGGTTTGTCCAGCAGAAGCTCTACCTTTTCCTGCAGCACTGCTTCGGCCACTGGCCCCTGGATGCATCGTTCAGAGCTGTGAGCGTTGGTCTCTCACCCCTTCCCCTTTGTGTTTTGTGCCCTGATGAGGGGGGGGTCCATGAGTGCGTGAAGGAAGGAAGAGACTTACCGCAGAAGCCAGGAGAGGAGGGTTTGGGGGCCATGTTTTCCTACCTGTTTGTGTTTCTGCAGCAAGCTTTCAGGTTCAGAAAGGCCCTGCCCTTAGCCGAGCTCAGTGGCTCAGCCTGTAATCCCGCGCCTTTGGGAGGCTGAGGTGAGTGGATTGCCTGAGCCCGCGGGTTCGAGACCCGCCTGGGCAGCGAGACCTCATCTCTACAATAAATATAAAAATCAGCCGGGTGTGGTAGCGCATGCCTGTAATTCCGGCTACTTGGAGGGCCGAGGCGGAAGGATCGCGGAGCCCAGCAGGTTGAGGCTGCGGTGGCCGGGAGTGGCCGCTGCACTCCAGTCTGGGTGACAGAGGGAGACTCCAACTCAAAAAAAAAGAGAAAGGCCCTGCCCTGCTTTAGATGAGAAAGGCCTGCATGTCTTGGGTTTTGAAGGGCTAGTGTGAGGGCCAAATACCACAGGGGTGCCCCTACACCCTCCTGGGGGTGTGGACAGAGCCAGTCATTCCTCAGCATGTGCACTAAACTCAAGAGGAAGTGGCCAGGACCTGGCATACCTAGCTGCCTCCTGGAGCTGGCTACAGGCCGCCAGTGGGATTGACTCTAAGCCCAGAGCCGGCCCCTGGCCCTAGGCCTCAGCATACGTCCATCCTCACAGGTTCTGGAGATGTGGCTAAGCTACCTGCAGCCGTGGCGGTACGCCCCTGAGAAGCAAGCTCAGAGCAGCGACTCCCAGCCCCGGTGTGTGTCAGAGAAATGGTAAGTCCCTGGCACCCCTTCCTCCAGTGATGCCATCAGCTGCCCTGGGTGGACACTGTTTCAGTGAGCAGATACTGAGCTGGGCACCTGTGCTGAGGTCAGCCTGGGCCTGTCCCTGGTGACCTCTAGGCTCCTCTCCCTGGCCTAACAAGGTGCAGTACAGGTCAGTCCCTCCTCAACTGAACCTTGCTGGGCCCTGGAGTTGATTTCCCAAGGAAGCAGTGGGCAGTGACATCCTGCCCCATCCCCTGTCCTTTGCCGTATCCTTCTGGCTTGAATGTTCAGGGTCACCCCCCCAGCAGCGGCCGCCTCCCATCGTCTGCCTACTCCTCACGGCCAACCCCCAGGCTCCCATCACTGGCATGGCCAGAGAACTCATCTCCACTCCTCACATAAGGCTTTCCCTTCACACACCTCTGGGGGTGCTCTGCCATGGTGACCTCAGGCCTTCTGGAAAGGGGCCTCATCCTTGCTCAGGATGTCTTGTCCTTGGAGGGCCTGGGTCTCACTTGCCTCTGTCCTACCCACCCACAGCCCCCGAGACATCACCTGTGCCACCCTCATAAAGCCTTAGCCAGGAAGAGTCAGGAAGCCCAGGGAAGAACAGGGGCATCAGGGCATAGACCCGTGTGGCCTCTGCCTCCAGCAGGAGGTCTTGCCCGGGGTTTTGCAGAGGTTGGCCCTGACCTGCCATCGTGGCCCCCAGGGCACCCTTTGTCCAGGAAAATCTGCTGATGTACACCAAGCTGTTTGTGGGCTTTCTAAACCGCGTGCTCCGCACAGACCTCGTCAGCGCCAAGAATGCACTCATGGTATTCCGAGTGGCCAAAGTCTTTGCCCAGCCCAACCTGGCCGAAATGATCCAGAAAGGTATGTCCCCAGTGGACATCAGGGCAGTGAAATCTGAGGTTGGCTGAGCTGTGCCTCCCAGTGGCTGCCACACACTAGTTGGTGGTCACAAGTGTGCCCACAAAGGCAGAGCTGCAGCTGCTCTGGAACTGCCTTTGTTGTCCGGCAACTTGCTGTGGCATTGGGAGGTGGTGGTCCTGGTCCCATGCTTTTATTTGGGTTTAGCTGGGCGTTGATTGCTGGTGCTTCCTCCTGGTGTTTGCCTTCTTGCTGACACTGCCCTGGGCTCCGGAGGCCTACCAGCCCTCCTGTGTCAGCCTCCCACCTCAGAGCTGCAGCTGAGGCAGGGCCTGGGAAGAGCGTGCTGCAATCATGGCTCCTCAAAAATGGCAGCTGGGTGCTCTGTGGCCCTGGAGTCAGGCGCCAGGCCCGGCTCCAGGCACAGTTCTTGCCTCCCAGGCGAGCAGCTGTTCCTGGAGCCGGAGCTCGTCATCCCCCACCGCCAGCACCGACTCTTCACAGCACCCACATTCACCGGCAGCTTCCTGTCACCATGGCCACCGGTGGTCACTGACACTGCCTTCAAGGTGAAGAGCCATGTCTATAGCCTGGAGGGCCAGGACTGCAAGTACACCCCAATGTTCGGGCCCGAGGTCCGCACCCTGGTGAGTGGGTCAGGGTGGCACCTGTCCTCAGGGCTCCTGAAACTGTGGGGACAAGCTGTTTCAGGAATGGTGTGGCATTTCAGGACAGGAAGGAGTGAGACTGGGTGGTGTTAATGCTACTGCATCCTCCCTGCCGTTTTTTTTCCTAGTAAAGTCTAATTTCTCTATGATAATAAAGGCAGTGTTGGAAATTTTTCATGTTTAAATCACCCTTAGTCTTTACAAGTCCTTCCCTGCAGAAGCCGCCCCTCCTGGGCAGCTGCACATCTGGGTGTACCTGCCTCCCCACCTTGGGCCCTAGGCCCATGCTGCTAGGTGGCAGCACATGCCCATCTCATCAGTGCCTCCCTCACAGGTGCTGCGTCTTGCTCAGCTCATCACTCAGGCCAAGCAGACAGCCAAGGCTATCTCTGACCAGTGTGTGGAGAGCCCAACTGGCCGCTCCTTCCTGTCATGGCTGGGCTTTGGCTCCATGGACCCAAACGGCTCCTATTCAGCCAACGACCTGGATGAGATGGGGCAGGACAATGTCCGGAAGACAGACGAGTACCTGGAGAAGGCCCTGGAGTACCTGCGCCAGATATTCCGGGTACGAGCAGTGAGGCCTGCACTGTAGCCCGCAGGGTCCTCTTCCCTGAGAGAGCCTCCCAGCGTAGCCCCATGGTCAACTGCACACCCAAGTCCCACAGAGATGGGCCCTGCATTGTGGGAGGCAGGTCCACACCTGGAGTTATGTCTGGCTCCCCTCCTTGCCTCTGTTAGAGGCCAGTAAAGTGAGGACCAGTTCCCTTACTGTGCCTTGACACTGAAAGCAGAGGCGTTTCTCTGGCAGCTCAGTGAAGCCCAGCTCACCCAGCTCACTCTCGCGTTGGGGACCACTCAGAACGAGAATGGAAAGAAGCAGCTCCCAGACTGCATCGTGGGTGAAGATGGACTCATCCTCACACCCTTGGGCCGGTACCAGGTGAGAGGTCCACGCCACAAAGGGGCATCTGGCAGAGCCCACTGGCCCATCCTCACTGCCCCCTTACACCATGAGCAGAGGCGGCTCCTAAGTTGTTTACAAGGGTGTGTTTTCTGAACTGTCCCCATGACCTGGGTTTCTAGATCATCAATGGGCTACGAAGGTTTGAAATTGAGTACCAGGGGGACTTGGAGCTGCAGCCCATCCGGAGCTACGAGATTGCCAGCCTGGTCCGCACTCTCTTCCGGCTGTCGTCCACCATCAACCGCAGAGTGAGTGGGCAGGAGGGGCCGGCCTGGCCTCTTCTGAAAATAGGTTCCCGGGGTGTTTCTGCCCAGGGTGGCCCCCACCTCAGTGCTGCCATTCAATCCTGCAGATCTTGGGGCAAGTCAGAGTGGAGAGTGAACCTGTAGAGAGGCTGCCCCTGAGTCCCAGGGTGGCCTGTGCGAGTGAGTGCTCTGCCATCCTGAGGCCCATGGTGCCTGCCTTCCCACTCCCACCTGTCCTCTTTGTTCAGTTTGCAGACCAGATGGTGGCCCTGTGTTCCCGGGACGACTTCCTTGGCAGCTTCTGTCGCTACCATCTCATGGAGCCCACGCTGGGCGGCAGGCACTTGCTGAGCCCTGTGGGGCGGAGGCAGGTGGCTGGCCATGCCCGGGGTCCCAGGCTCAGTCTGCGCTTCCTGGGCAGCTACCGGACACTGCTCTTGCTCCTGCTGGCCTTCTTCGTGGCTTCTCTGTTCTGCATCGGGCCCCTGCCCTGTGCACTGCTCCTCATTCTGGGCTACATCCTCTATGCCATGGCCATGACACTGCTGACTGAGCGGGGGAAGCTGCACCAGCCCTGATGAGGCAGCCACCATCTCCAGAGAAGACTGGGGATTTGCCACTGTTGCACCTGAGCTGGAACATGGTCATCTTTGGGCTGCTGGGGGTGTTTTTCTGCAACAGTGGAGTCATCTAGAAGAAACTGTAATAGGGGAGAGCAGTCCAGACTTGGCGAGTAGGGGACAGCAGAGGGCGCACAAGCCATGTGTGACAACTGGAACCCAGCCACTGTCCCCTCCTCCTGTCCTCAGCCCAGGATGCACAGCTGAGCTGGCTCTCGGGGCCTTTTCCTCCAGTAACTGTGTAAGGATCTTGCTGTACAAAGCTCAGGAGCTTGTGTGCTGAAAGCTGCTCCTGCTGTTCTCCCTTGTGGGTGGCCCCAGCCTCAGCCTCCCCTCTGGCTGTCCTGGAGATGGGCAGAGTGAACTGCAACATCTCAGCTCCCTTTGTGGTACCAGGGATGGCAGGTCTTCTCTGAGTCCCAACTACAAAGCTATATTTTGCCACCACGTTTGGCAAAGCAAGTTTAATTCTTTATGCTCACTCAGCTATTCCATGACTGAGCCATAGAACTCCACTTTTGAGAGCATGAAGATTCTCTCAGAGCACAGGTGCTTCATCCCAGCCCCTAGCCATCGAGCATGTTTCCCAGAGCAGTGGCACCATCACTGCCTTCCCTGTGCCTTGTCACAGACAGGTGCTGTTCCTCAGCAGGTGTGGGGGACACCACACCGCAGGATCAGCAGGGCAGATCCTACCAGCTTTTCTGTTTTGCAACCAAAGATGGTCAAAGTGTAGTTTGTATCTTCAATAAAAGCAAGTGCTCAAAGATGTACTTTTTAATAACACTTGACTAGAAATGCACAATTACACATTCACCATCAAAAATAAATTGCCACGAAGTCTCCCACACCTTCCTTCATCCCACAGATGATGCACCAGGAAGAATACCATCTCTACAATGATTTGTAAACCAAGCCTTTGTTTTTGGTGTGTGGGGTTTTGTTTCTTTAATGTCTTTCAAATTATAAATGTTGGGCTTTGCATTTTGATATAAACTCAGAATAACGACACTTTGGGGCCTGTGACCAAAAACCAAATCAAATTTGTAAGTGACCATGGATCTGATTAAACCTGTCCTTGCTTCTGAGTCTGGTGCCTGAGCTTGGTCTCCAGTGAGTTCACCCGTACAGGGTCCTGGAGCACGGGGAAACTGCAGAAACTGCTGATAGGCACCCCGTGTTCCCATTGCCCAGAGTGCATGAGCCTGGTCTCCTGGTCATCATTTGCTTTTCTTGCCCAGGGCGTGGCAGGTTCTTACAGCAGCAACTAAAGCAAGGTGCACATGAATGCTGGACCACCTGAGATGAGAGGAGGGAACCCTGGGAAGTTGGGAGCCATGCCCCTGCTGGGTCTCAGCCCTGTGAATTTTCCCCTCTACTCGACAGGTCAAAACTGGCCTTTATATGAAAATCTAACTACCTTATCTGTGGCTTCTGGAAGCACTGAGGGTCATGAGAGAAGCTGGAGACTGAGCTATGCACTCACCAGCCCCAGGAAAGCATCTCAAGGAGCACCTGACAGCTGTCATTTGAGTGTTAAAGATCTATGCCATGGGTAGGTCAGTTGTTTGGTCAAATTTTTAATTTTTTTAGAACTCTGGCACAGGCTAGAGTATAGTGGCATGAGCGTAGCTCAGTGTAGCCTTGACCTGGGCTTAAGAAACCCTCTTGCCTCAGCCTCCTCTCCTGAGTAGCTGACACTGCAAACATGAGATACCACATCTGGCTAATTTTTTTCTTTTTTTTTTTTTAGAAACAAGGTCTAGCTTTGTTGCTCAGGCTGTTCTCAAACTCCAAGCCTCAAACGATCCTTTCACCTTGACTTCCCAAGGCACTGAGATTACCAGCATGAGCCATCTTTCCAGCCAGTTTGATCAAGTGTAATAGGAATAGGAAATAAGGTGGTTTATTCTGTCTTTTTTTGTGAGTTGAGGTCTGATTCTTTTGTCAAGGCAGGAGTACAGTGGCATGATCATGGTTCACTGCAGCCTCGACCTCCTGGGCCTAGGCGATCCTTCCATCTCAGCCTCCCCAGTAGCTGGTGTGTACCACCACACCTGGCTAATTTTTTCCTTTTTGTAGAGATGAGTTCTCACTATACTGCCCAGGCTGGCCTCAAACTCCTGGACTCAAACAATCCATCCCCCTGGGATTTAAGAAAAAAGATAGAAACTCCAGCCAAAGTAGTTTCTTGAAGCTCAAGAAATATTGACAAGCTCCTGGTTTTTGTTACCAATCTCATTAAATCAAGAGATGTGAATGCTCTGAGATGATTGTCTGGGTTTAGATGTTACCATCACCATTTCCTTTGCAGCTCCTCTGGACAAACTGCCTGTAAGGATAGGTGACTCCTTTTGACCCTTCTAGCTCCATGTGGCCCCCACAGGCCACCTTGCTGACATTTTATTTTGTGACCTCAGAGAAGTTGGGCTGGAGACGGGAGTTCTTCCTGTGCATTCTTCACCCCTCATCTGGTGCCTTGGGTGTGTTTTGTACTATCTGCTTCCACCTCCACGTCTCCCGCTCACCCCTCGACTTTTTGCCATTGGCGATAACCCCTGCCACTAATGGACCAAACCCAGATGCTTCTCAGACCAGATGGCCAGGTCCTCACAGCTGCAGGTTCTCCTGATGCCATCCTGCCTCCTTGGCCCTTCAGCACCATCCTCCCCACACCAGGTGACCCATTTTTGGCCCACTCTCTTCTACGACCAGTATGTCCTGCCTTGACAATGTATTAGCCTCTACCATGATCTGGCTTAGATGTTGGGGTCACCTTTTGCAGGTGACCCAAGGGCAGGGGTTCTGTGCAATTAGGAGAAACCTATATCTTTTCCCCTCTTAATGTCCAAGAGTAGGTCAGAGCCTCTGAATTACCAGCCGTCACCAACTACCCTAACATTTCCAGTGGATGAGAGGAGTCTTTAAATTTATCTTATTTATTTGTTTGTTTGTTTGTTTATTTATTTATTTTTGAGTTGGAGCCTTATTCTCTGAGGATTGTATCTCAGGTGGCCCATTACTCAAAAAGTGAACATTGTGCCCTATGAGTAGTTTCTGAACCCTAGCCCTCCTCTCTCCTCCCCCCTTATTGGTGTCCCCAGTGTCTGTTTTCATCTTTGTGACTGTTTAGCTCCCACATATAAGTGAGAGCAAGCGGTATTTGGTTTTCTGTTTCTGAGTCAATTTACTTTGGATGAAGATCTCCAGCTCCATCCATGTTGCTGCCAAGAACATGATTTCATTCTTTTTTATGGTAGCAGGAGAGGACTCATGTTCTCTTTAAAAACTCAGCTAGGCTGGGCTCAGTGGCATTTTTTGTTTCACCTCTTCCACATTGACAAAATGTTTCCCTTTGAAGAATTTTTCTTCTGGGGAAACAACAAAAAAAAGTCACTCAGGGAGAGATTGGGTGAGCAGGGAGGTGAGGCAGGGTACCAATGCCATTTTTGGTCAAAAACTGCTGAACACTCAGCACACTCTGGACAGGTGCATTGTTATAATGGAAGAACCAGTCACCCACTTGCCAAAACTCAGGACGTTTCTTCCACAAATCATGATGCACAGCAACACTAGCTGGCCCACTGATGGTGACGGATTCCGAGAATACTCACCTAGCAGGGTAAGCCTGTATTACATGGAGCCCACTCTCCAAAAGATAATTTGGAATTTTTTTGTTGTTGTTTTCCCCTCATATACCTTTTCTCAACAAATTAAACCTTAAGACCGTAAAAGAGAAACCAACTGGTTGTCTAATACTCTCACACTTCTGACACCAAATGGGTGGGGTTTCTCCCACACAAACCCCAAGTCTCCATCTCTCCAGTGTCCTACAACTCAATTCTGACACTACCTGCAGTTAGTGCAGACTACACAGGTGAAGGACTCAATCTCACAAGACTGCCCCTACTTCAGTTACCAATCACAAGTAGTGGTTCCCCAGGTTACCCATACTTCTGTCCAACTTGGACACAAATGGGGGATTTCCACAACCTCCTCCTCAGGTTCAATAATTTCCCATGGTGGCTCAAAACTCAGGGAAATGCTTACTTAAATACACCAGCTTATTATAAAGGATGTAATAAAGGACATAAATGAACAGCCAGATGATGAGCTACACTGGGCAAGGTCTACAAGGGTCCTGAATGCAGAAGCTTCTATCACTGTGAAGTTGGGGTATGCCACCTTCCCAATTCCAGTTGTGTTCCCCAGCCTAGAAACTCCAAACTCCATAATTTGGGGATATCTCTGGAGACTTCACCATGGAGGTATGATTGACTATTAACTCAATCTCCAGTCCCTCTCCCCTCTCTGGAGAATGTGGGGTGGGCTGAATGTTCCAAACTTCTAATCATGGCCTGGTCTTTCTGATGACCAACCCCATCCTGAAGCCCACTGAGTCACCTTGTTAGAACAAAGGACACTCTTATAACTAGGAGATTCTGAAGGATAGAAGAGCTCTGGGTAAGACACTCTTATCACCCCTGCCACTCAGGAAACTACAAAGGCCTTAGGAGATATGTGTCAGGAACAAGTGTCAGAGACCAAAATATATGAATATATGTATGTATGTATACACACATATTTCTTATTGCACAGACCTACTTATCAAATGGCATTTATTAATATTCCAAGCATCTGTGCACCTCAACCTTCTTAATTAGAATTTGTTTTCTAGGTTGGGCATAGTGGCTCACGCCTATAATCCTAACACTTTTGGAGGTGAAGGCGTGAGAATCTCTTAAGGTCAGGAGTTTGAGACCAACCTGGACAAAATCATGAGACCCCATCTCGACAGAAAAAACCTTTTTTAATTAGCCAGGAATGGTGGTGCACACCTGTACTCCTAGCTATTCATGAGTTTGAGGCAGGAGGAACACTTGAGACCAGAAGTTCAAGGCTATAGTAAGCTATGATCACACCACTGCACTCCAACCTGGGCAACAGAGATAGACCCAGTCTCAAAAAAAAAATTGTGTTTTCAGTCAAGTACAGTGGCTCAAGCCTGTAATCTCAGCACTTTGGGAGGCCAAGGCAAGAGGATTGCCTGAGCTCGCAGGTTCAAGACCAGCCTGAGCAACATAGTGAGATCTCGTCTCTACAATAAATAAAAAATTAGCCGGGCGTGGTAGCGCATGTCTGTGGTTCTAGCTACTTGGAAGGCTGAGGCAGAAGGATTGCCTGAACCCAGCAGGTTGATGCCGGGGGTGGATGTGAGCATGCCACTGCACTCCAGCCTGGGCAATGAATAAGACTCCAACTTAAAACAAAAAACAAAAAAAAACAGAGCTTGGTGGCTCAGCCTGTAATCCCGCGCCTTTGGGAGGCTGAGGTGAGTGGATTGCCTGAGCCCGCGGGTTCGAGACCCACCTGGGAAGCGAGACCTCATCTCTACAATAAATCAAAAACTCAGCCGGGCGTGGTAGTGCATGCCTGTGATTCTGGCTACTTGGAGGGCTGAGGCGAAAGGATCGCCGGAGCCCAGCAGGTCGAGGCTGTGGTGGCCAGGAGCGGCCACTGCACTCCAGTCTGGGTGACAGAGTGAGACTCCAACTCAAAAAAAAAAAAAATTGTGTTCTAGGCAACCCAGTAAAGTAGATGAAGTGCGCTTTCTGCCTCAATTGTGTCCAACAGCCTGGAACTTACTTTCTCCTTCCAATCTTTCCAGATAAAAGGAGAGCTGTTTCCACCTCCCACACAGCTCCATGCTCCCTGCTGAAATGCATGTTCTGCAGTCTTACTCAGTGTCCAGTCTCTGGGGGCCCACCCCCGCTTCCTTACCCAGCTAACCTCCACCACCACCAGTCAGTCATCTTCTCCTCAGGGAAGGCTCACTTCCTTCCACTTCCCACAACTCTAAGTCTCCCTCCTCCCCAGGCTGGAGTAAGTACCCCTTCCTCTATACTCCTTTTGCCTTTCAACAAATACAAGTAGAGACACTTCTTTATTACTTGCTAGGTGCTAGGCACTTAAAAGTGCTGAATAAATACTTGTGAGTGAATCTTCAATTAGTATGTTTGCTCCTTAAGGACAAATATTATATTGTACTCATCTTTCTAGCTCTGGCATCATGCAAGCACATGTTAAC